AGGTCCACGCACGTTTGTTTTGCCAGCCACGGCAGCGCGAGACATCGAAAACGGATACTTTAAGAGTTTATGAATGGAAAGTTTACTTTTAAAAAGTTGCCAGATTGCTCCACTGGCGAGACCAAAGTTACGTGTATGTTTTGCAGTCGTAAACTGAGCTATCATCATTGCACGTCGAGTCTGAAATACCACGGCCAAGCACACAGCTGATGTGAGTACTCCGCCCCCTCGTCTCAGACAGACAGCTATGGATCATTTCAAAGCGAAGAAAATGGATGACACAACGAAGAACAAATTTGCTGAAGCCATAGGTAAATGTATGGATACTGCATGCAAGCCTGTCAACATTGTCCACAGCTCGACTCAAGCTGAAATCATTCGCATTGCATCTAACGACTCCACTACAGATTGCCAGCGAGAGCCTCCATTACAAGCTGTGTAGATATTGTACGTAGCGGAGAAGGCTATGGTATACCAAGCGGGAGAAGACACTGTTTCGGGAGAGAAATAAGAGACTAGGTTGATGAGCCTCTGGTGAATAAAGAGCAGGCAGCCTGTCGAATACGATGTATGCCACTGACGCGATTGTTACTTGTTTGGAACTATTTTGTGTGGAAGGTTACAGTGTTCCGTGTCCATATAAATAAAGCGGGTGGAGCTTCTCTGTGTTTGTGTAATAGTGACGGTGCGCAGAGGCAGTGACATGACAACAAAAGTTCAGCGGTGCAGTGGTAGCGACCTAGCGAAAATAAAACGTCTCCAGTGTTGTCATCGAACCAAGTGTAGTCATCCGAAATTATGTCTACACAAAGCCGTAGAGAGACTTCCGTGCAAGAAGGACCAACAGAATCAACATTAGCCTGACTGCTGTGTTCAAAGCAAACTTGAGAAAAACAAAGTATGCAACCATGGCTTAAATCCACTATAGGCTGAGTACTAGTTTACCTTCGATGTGCACTTTATAATGTTATATTGCTCTGTTTTGATTCCATAAAAAAAGCTGTTAAAGCAGCTGTTGTGTGACAAAATATTTTTTTCACTGTTGTTGATGGACAGTAATATTGTGTGAGATTATGTGTAAGTAACTGCTCCAAGTGAAAAATGTTCATGTAAAATTGAAAATCGAAATTGTTATTTCAGTAAATATTTGCATTTTTCACATAGAAAACTGATTCATGATTCCATGTTGATGAGAGCATTAAAATAGGGAAAAATAGGACAAAAAAACAAAAGGAAATTCAGAAACGATCAAAAATGTGTGAGTAATCACGATTAATTTTTAGTGAATTTGAGTTCATTATGACAGTTGCATTTTTAATTAGATTAAATATTTTAATCGTTTGACAGGACTAATATATATATAGATAGATAGATAGATAGATAGATAGATAGATAGATAGATAGATGTAACCGGGTTTTTGGAAAAACTGGACTGAACACAAAATAATTTTTATGTGGGCTTTATTCTCGACTGAACAATAAAAATTTGTACAGCATTAAGATGAAAGACTGAGATGTTAACAGGATTTTAAAAAAGTTCGAAAAAGGATCTAAGAGATCAAAGAAAATTATCTAACGGATTAAAGAAAATTACACCATAATAGACAACAGCAGTGGCTTGCTTGATAGGGAAAGGGAAATAAAAATACATTATTTCCAAGCCACAACATTCTATGAAACTTAAAAGTGCAGACCGACTATTTACAATCCAATGTGTTGAGAGGACACATTTACTCGACACTTTCCGGCGTGTTGGGTACATACAAAACACGTGGAAAAACACAACTGATCTCCCCTCTAAAGAACAGATAAAACAGTTCATATAATTTCACAGTCAAAAAAAAAACAACATATTTACATCTTGTAACGTTACGAACATTTACACTATAAAGCTGTTCACACGACTCACTAGCGGCAGATTTCAAACTCCAAACCACGATATTTTGCTCTACAAATACCATTCAAATAATTAATCACCCGTCCAAATATAACACCTAACAAGCTTCATGGTAAAATAACTACCAATTACCTAAATATCGCCATGGTTACAATGACGATCATGAGTGCGTATCAAGTGGGGACGAGCGGCATACACAGTTCAGTGACTATCTTCCTTCACATGCATGTCAACCTCCCCTCACTTCCTGGTCTAATTCTCGCTCGCGCTATATGTTCCCGTGTGTTTTTATCAAGCGTGCTCTTAAAGTGACAGTGCTACATTTGTTAAATAAGGCAGCCTTCACTACATAAGTCTAAGTATGGATCACCTGGTTACATTTATATAATTTATTTATTTATTTTTTTGGCCCCAAAAAATCAAACTTGATAGCGAGTGTGTGGAGCAGTGTTGTGGCTGCCGATGTCACTTTCAGGCGCTTCATTTTCGGCCGTGAGTGCATACGTCACACACAGAATAGCAAGGAGGGGGGAAGTTTTTTTTTGGGGGGGGGGTCCTGTTTGACACGACAGCCAGTATATGGACAGGGCATTTTTGCTGATGTGGTCAATATGGATCAAAAATATAGTTATGTGTAGGCATTACACGTTTTACATAATAGTTCTTGGAAATGTGATTTAGTCATTTACATTTATCACAGTTCATAACTGTTGTGGTGTGTCAAATCTCGAAGACATTTATTTCCGCTTTGCAGGGAATAGATTTGACTCTTACACACCCAATTACAATGAAGTTGGGATGTTGCATTAAACAAATAAAAACAGAATACGATTTGCAAATCATGTTCAACCTAAATTTAATTGATTTACAGTAAAAGAACAACATATTTAATGTTCAAACTGATAAAATTTTGTTTCTAGCAAATAATCATGAACTTAGAATTTTATGGCTGCAACACATCCCACAGGTGAACTGGCTAACTGGGTGTCATGATTGGGTACAAAATGAGATTCCCTGAATTGCTCAGTCATCCACAAGCAAAGATGGAGTGAGATTCACCTCTTTGTGAACAGCCATGTAGGAAAATGGTCAAACAGTTTAAGGACAATGATCCTCCATGTACAGTTGGAAGGAATTTAGGGATTTCATCATCTAGGTTCCAAAATATCATCAAAGGGGTCAGAGAATCTGGAGAAATTATGACATGTAAACTGCAAGGCCAAAAACCAACATTGAGTGCCCGTGACCTTCGAACATCAATCTGTAAAAGATATCACCACAAGGGCTCAAGAAGACTTCAGGAAACCAATGTCAGTAAATACAGTTTAGCACCACATCCATAAGTGCAATTTAAACCTCTACCATGCAAAGCAAAAGCCATTAACACCCAGTTTTTTCTGGGGCCCAAGCTCATCTAAAATGCACTGATGCAAAGTGGAAAAGTGTACTGAAGTCTGATGAATCCACATTTCAAATTTTTGCCAACTTCGAAAACCAGCATCTGTGACGGTACGGAACTGTGTTAGTGCCAATTGAATGGGTAACATACACCATTAATGCCAAAAGGTCCATACAGGTTTTACAGAAACATATGCTGCCATCCAAGCAACGTCTTTTCTTGGACGCCCCTTCCTGTTTCAGCAAGACAATGGCAAACCACATTCTGCATGTGTTACAACAGTGTGCCTTTGTAGTAAAAGAGTGCAGGTACTTGACTGGGCTGCCTGCAGTTCTGACTTGTCTCCCATTAAAAATGTGTGGTACTTTATCCATCAATCCATACCTATAGTTGCAAGAAAAAGTATGTGAACCCTTTGGAACTACCTGGATTTATTCATAAATTGGTCATGAAATGTGTCACAACAATTGACAAACACGCTTAAACTAATACCACACAACAACAATAAAAATAATAAAACAATATGTTCTCATATATTTTTACTGAACACACCATGTAAACATTCGCTGTACGTGGTGGAAAAAGTAAGTGAACCCTTGGATTTAATAACTTGCTGACCCTCCTTTGGCAGTAATAACCTCAACCAAACATTTCCTGTCGTTGCAGATCAGACCTGCACAATGGTCAGGAGGAATTTTGGAGCATTCGTCTTTCCAAAACTGTTTCCATTGAGCAATGTTCTTGGGATGTCTGGTATGAATCACTCTCTTGAGGTCATGCCACAACATCTCGATGGGGGTTGAGGTCAAGACTCTGACTGGGCAACTGCAGAAGGCATATTTTCTTCTGTTGAAGCCATGCTGTTCTTCACATGTGTCAAAGTCAAGGCCCGGGGGCCAGGTTTGGCCCGTCACATCATTTTATGTGGCCCGCAAAAGCAAATCAAGTTCCATGATGCTTGCTAAAGTCAGAACCAAAATTTCAAATTTTATTATGTAATCCAGAATAACAGTCATTATTCTTGACATCTGATTTTAAAACTAGTTATTCAACAATTTGTTGTGTGCTGTGTCTGTAATATGTGTAGGGGATTAAACATTTATATGGTTTCCCAAAATTCGTAATGGCCATCCAAGGGAAAGTGTAACTACAATGTTGCCCGTGACAAAAATGAGTTTGACACCTGTGCGGTTTTTGATTTACTTCTTTGCTTTGGGTCATTGTCCGGTTGCATGACCCAGTTTCTGTTGTGCTTCAATTGGTGCATAGATGGCCTTATGTTTTTCTGCAAAATGTCTTGGTAAACTTAGGAATCCATTTTTTTTTTCGATGATAGCAATCGGTCCAGGCTGTGAGAAAGCACAGCAGACCCAAACCATCATGCCTCGTCTACCATACTTCACAGTTGAGATGAGGTTTTGATGTTGGTGTGCTGTGCCTTTTTTCTCCAGATAGTGTTGTGTGTTCCTTTCAAACAACTCAACTTATGTTTCATTTTTCCACAGAATATTTTGCCAGTAGTGCTGTGGAACACCCAGGTGATCTTTTACAAACTTTAATGTGCACTTTTTTTTTTCAACAGCCGTGGCTTACTCAGTGGTGTCCTCCCATGAACTCATTTTTTGTTCAGTGTTTTGCGTATTGTAGATTCATCCACAGAGATGTTGGCATGTGCCAGAGATTAGCCTTTTGCTGACACTCTAGGATTCTTCTTCACCTCTCTGAGAATTCTGCATTGTGCTCATGCAGTCATCTTTACAGGATGGCCACTCCTAGTTAGAGTAGCAACGGTGCTTAACTTTTCCCATTTATACACAATTTATCTCACCGTGGACCACTGCATGTCAACAATCCTTAATCGTGGGTCTTCTGAGAACTCTTTTGTATGAGGTATGGTTAACATCAGACAATAGGGGTGTTCACACGGCACACATTTGCTCAGGTGCTGCACCGATGTATTTTGTTGCGATATATCTTTTATCTCAAATTTTGTGGAGCGTTCACACGTACAAAGCCGCTGAGCGTGTCAGCACCGGTGCAGCGCCGGTGCAGCCTCACTTGGGTTCACACGGCAGTTTCTGCAGCGGAGCTGTCGTGTTGGTTCTTTGTAAAACATACACAACTCAAGCAACTGCTGTGCAGGCACGTCCTTCTCCTTCTCGATCTCCTTGCTTTCTGCTCGAGAGGCGTTCAATGACCGCCGCCGAAAACGTAAATCAACGATGACTTCAATGACACTCAGAAAAGCAAACATAATGCGCCAAACAGAAAATCAAGAGAGGAAATCACAAAATAAATTCTATGGGGGAGGGGAGGGGTTGTGAACACACAACAAAGGAACAAACTACACAAACAACTCTGAGACAGTCCAGTCTCTTACAAAAGGAAAGATGATATTTGGGGGGACTATCCCCCCGCCCTTCTAGTTGAGATGGTATAACCCAAGAGGCAAGACGCCGCTTGCTACTGTTATTGCCAGTTGCCATTCTACTGTTATTGCCAGCCATCATGTCTCGTGTCGTTATTAGACAAACAGATGACGGAAGTACAACAGAGCACGAAAGCAACGCATTCTAGCCGTACGTAATGAACTCTTCTCATGCGTACCGAGGCTACTCCCCTCGCAAACGAGCATTTGCTCCGGAGCAAATTTTTAACCCTGTTGCGTTCACACGTACCATTTTACATCGGTGCTGCCCCGCAAACAAGCATTTGCTCCGAAGCAAATTTTTAAACCACCTCCCTGAGGTGTGAACGCTCTACTGGGGCAGCACCGGTGTAGCACCGGAGCAAATGTTGCCGTGTGAACACCCCTAATGTGTCTTGAGAATCACAAATTCCAAACTAGTGTTTTTATCGGGCAGTGCAGCTTTACCCAACACCTTCAACCTCGCCTCATTGATTGGACTCCAGGTTGACTCTATGAGCTCATTAGCCTAAGTGTTCAGACATTTACATGGTGTTCAAAAAAAATAAAATTAAAAAAACATCAGCATATCATTGTTTGTCTGGTATTAGTTCAAGCAGATTGTGTTTGTCGATTGTTGTGACTTAGATGAAGATCAGATCACATTTTATGACCGATTTATGCAGAAATCCAGATAATTCCAAAGGGTTCTTATATTTTGTCTTGCAACTGCACATCTATTTTCTGAACCGCGTATCCTCATGAGGGTCGCGGGCGTGCTGGAGCCTATTCCAGCTGTCTTCGGGCAGTAGGCAGGGTACAGCCTGAACTGGTTGCCAGCCAATCACAGGGCGGCACACATAGGCAAAACAACTATTCACACTAACAGTCACACCCAAAGACAATTTAGAGTGTTCAATTAACCTGTCATGCATGTTTTTTGGAATGTAGGAGGGAACAGGAGCACCCGAAGAAAACCCACGCAGGCATGGAGAGAACATGCAAACTCCACACAGGAAGGCCAGAGCCCGGAATCAAACCCTGAACCTCTGCACTGTGAGATGGACGTACTAACCAGTCGACCAAGTCCCACCCTGTTGCACATTATTGAGTGTAAAACACGACAACTGAGAACCCAGAATTTTGAGCAGCTAAAGCTGTACATCAAGTAATAATGGGAAAGAATTCCACCTATAAAGCTTCAACAATGAGTGTAGTGTACTCAGTTCCCAAATGTTTAGTGAATGTTGATAAAAGAAAAGGTGATATAACACAGTGGTAAACATGACCCTGTGCCAGCTTTCTTGCAACATGTTGCAGCCACAAAATTCTAAGTTGATGATTATTTGCTAAAAACAAAATGTATCAGTTTGAACATTAAATATGAAGTCTTTGTAGTGTATTCAATTAAATATAGGTAGAACATGACTTAGAAATCCTTGTATTGTGTTTCTACTCAAAACGTCCCAACTTCATTGGCATTGGGTTTGTAGATTGGATTTACATCATTTTAACATTTACAAATAGCTGTGGTTAACTTATTTTTACACTTTTGAATCATTGTTGAAATATACAGACTATTTTATTTGTATTTCCATTCCTTCGGTCATCAATAAATCAGTGGTTGACCATTATGTCAGACATCAAAGGCGCACGTTTTCCTACACGAAGAACTTGACCTGCCTTACTGTATGTATGTGGACCATGCAGAATCGGAGAGAGGGGATGGGAAGAAGGACTGGGAGTGTAGTGGCTGGGGATGAGGGGGAGGGGAATAGAAATCTGCAGGGTCTCAGAAGGGAGGCAGAAAAGAGGGTTCATGTTAGTGTCTGAGTCATGACCTAAATTCTCAATGTAGGAGACTTCCTCTACCTTATTTTTCTGCATACACTCCGATTCCCACTTTCATGAGACACACAATTTCTGACAACGGCATCATGACAAGAAATTCAGAATTTACAAACCAAAGGACGTGAACGACAGCATCACCTCTATAACGAGCCCAGAATTGGACTTTTTTAACAGTAAAGCCAATTTTTGTCACTTGCTTACTTGGAGCCCCCTGCAAACATCTTGATTCTGCTGTGTGACAGGTGTCTGTGTGTGACTGTGGTGGGGGGGGGGGTAGTGTGGCAAGCTGGAACATTTACTTGGACAAGGGGCAAGAGGTAATGGTGAGTGAGGGTGCACAGAAAGGAAGACAGCTAGTAGTAAAGGGTGAAAAACAAATGCTAACACTTCCTGTGATGTGTGACATCTATCAACAAAGGAAGCGAAAGCACACAGAAAACTAGTAAAACAAGGTCTTTCCATTTTGACTGAAATGTATTGCAGATGGGTCGACAATGCGAACAGGCTTACTTCTTACACACTGGGAGGACAAAGACAACCCGAAAAGGCTTCTAGACAAAGAAGGCCTCAGAACAAGTTGCTGAGGAAATACACAAGCAGGCCTACACACAGGGTAATTTGAGTAAATGACACTGGCATAGCGGAGCAGACAAAATGCAAGCATGGCCGCACACAATACATTTCATTCAGTGATTCATTCATTCTCTCTCCCCTCCCCTGCTCTCCTCTCCATGCTCCCTCTGGCTGTAGTTGGAGTGAGAGGTGAGGGGGGAGGGGCAGCAGATGATGATAATGCAGTAAGAAAAGGTACTCCACCCAGACGGGCGCGCGCATGCATGCACACACACTGTTATTCAGTTCCTTCTTAACAGCTGCAAAAACGCAACGGCGCACTGAGGAACACACAAGGGAACATACACGTATTTAGCTGTGCCACACCCAAAACCATAGACGTCAGCCCTCTCACACACAGCCCGGGTCCCAGATTTAACAAAACACAATCGGAAATATCGAAACGCACGAGCACAAGAGCTAACCTTGCATAATGAAGTCTGTCAGACCTTCTTTCCCTCTCGCCTCGCTCTCCCTCGATTGCTTTTCACTCTCCCTCCCAGCTCTCTCTCTCAGCTGTCATCCACGCCCAGCCCCCCCCCCAGCCTCTGTGGTCCAATCACAAGCAGCGCCATTGAAGGCCAGCCAACCAGCACTAACTTCATTTGCATATAGCAGAGGCCTGAGGGCGGTTTGAGGCCGTTGTCGTTTTTTAAAGAGACAGCTGGCCTGTTTCCCTACGACTGCGGGTGTGACCCTTCACCTTGCACTCTCCTTCTCATCTGTCTCCCACAATATTCCCTCCATTTTAAGCTTGCCATTCATACCTCATCTCCAACATCATCAAGTCTCAAATACGTGCTACAAAAAAAACTTGGTCGTGTGCAAGTGACTTCACTACACTTATGACACTAAAAATGCTTTTCAGCAACAGAAATTCAGATACTTTGCTCTTCTTGCACTCCATGTGATGTCAACTGTATTTAATTTATTACACTGATTATGAATCATCATGGGGAAATAAAATGTAGACGGGTGTATATATTTTATGTTCCACACCACACAGAGAACCTGATCACATGTGGGAATGCAAGGAGAAAGTGTCAAAGTAAAAACAGTGCTGCACTTCTTGTGTTAGGGCTGAGGTCAGTGCCTTGCTTGAGGGTAACTTATCAGTACTCTAGCACATCTCAAACAATTAGTTGCTATCACTTTTTTTGCCCATAGCATGAATTGTACCGTCACATTCCAGTTACAAAATCCAAGTCCTTCAAAATGACCTACTGCAGCCCATAATTCATTAATCAAATAATTTTCACACTACTCCTAGAGTCTAACATGACGGGTAGAAGAAAAAAAAAAAAACAATCCAATCAAATCCTCACCTCAGCATTCACAAATTCACTGATAAAGCATTTTTCTAAGAGCTTTGTGATTAAAAAAAAAAAAAAAAAAAACTTAATGTTTGTGCTCTTCACGTAACACCCTGGGTGGTGCAAAAGCCCTTGTTAATGGGAAAGTAGCAATTGGTAAGAAGCAATGTTGAATTGAGAACTTGACTGCGACATGAAGATCTTTGTGTGTTGAGGAGAAGCTAAGTTGAGCCCGACTTGTTCGTGAAAGTTACAGAGTCTTTGTCGCATGTAAAAACACTTCCAGTGCATCGTCTGTCAGCCATTTCTTTTCAAGGGTTATATTTTTACATTTCACTGCTTTAGGATGACAATTTGTGGCGCATTTATGATTTAAACTATTAATGTCGGCATTTTTTAATGCATTTTAATGCTCAGAGAGTGTATGTACACTTCAAGTCCTAGCTATTTTGAGAATAAATATGTAAAGGATTTAGTAACCTTGAATATCAATAAAAATTCTGCATTATCTTTGTTAAGAGAATTATTAATATTCTATAGTTCTTCTCAAAGAACTATGGTTGTTGATTGCAACTTTTTTTCCTCTAAATGTGTTTTCCTTTGTGATAATATCATGACAAATGTGCTGCATAACAACTCACCTTCACAAATGCGGTCGAGCCTCTGGCGCTTGACCTGTTTGTGTTTGTCCATCAGAGCCATAGACTGAGCAGGCTGGATGCTGAACACAGTAGAACCAATATAAAAGTCTTAGTAGTCTCCACACCTGTTGACCTATAACAAAACATGTAACAGCTCAAATTAGACGCTACCGTAAATATAAACATTCTTCTGTAACTGCAGTTTGGATTCCAATGTATATATATATTTTTAAATAAACTATGAACGGTTTTATATAAGGGCGTATGAGGGAGAATGGGAACAAAAATTTCAAGGAATACTCCTAAGAGAAAACTATCAGGAGTAAGAATTTTGACGGTCCTAACTTTAGCGAACCTAGTCATCAATTCCACAACACCACATCAAGGCTTTTCACAGCCCATTTTCACACAGCATTGCCGTCAGGATTATATCCCCGATGACGTCAGCGCCTGGTGTGTCGAACTAATTATGGAGCAGCCTGCTTTTGGTACGTGCAGGACAGAAAAAGTGTTGAACTGTCCCGGTATTGTGGAAATTCCTTACATTAAGACGATGTCCCACCATACCTCGTTACAGTTCTGATTATGTCCACAACACAGAAAATGTCCCCATTGTGTCAGTGGGAATAGCAACAATGTCAAATGCTTGATTCGACAACCAGCGAGGGGTTGCTGTCTCTTCTGATATACTCCAAAACAAGTTTTATCCCGGGTTTGGGTTATTGTATGCGAGAAAGAAGGTTGGTAGGAGGTTGTTGTGACTTTCAGCTATCAGGAGTTGCATAAAAACAGTGAATTCATTTACATGTAAGGTCTTTTATACATGTCAAACATCAATTTTGGGGATGTCCCCATCACATTTTTTGCACCCTGGGTCCAAGTAATTTGATTTTGAGTACCTGCCAGTGCAGTCCCAATCCAATTTCTTTGTAATGCAATGAAAGGAAAAAGAAAAGAAAGTGTTTTTTTTTCATAAACATATCCAAATATGACATCTTTTAATATGGCTATGAATCAGCCGTGGCTCAAATCAGGAAAAGAAGATTTTTTTAATCCAATCTTATTCGGCTGAAACTGACTAGCTGAAAATCAGGTGATCGGCCTCGATTTCCGATCATATTGAGCTAATCGGGACAACCCGAATTATCTTGAATCAAAAATACTGCATTGTGTGCATACTATGGATTATTATTGAAAATCAAACATAACCATGTTCATCTGTCGATGACAATATTGAAAGCATTTCATCACTAAGATGATAACTGCTGAAACACTTTAAATTGCCAGTGTATGTAGTTGTTTTGGTACTCTGCAGGAAGATGAAAACATTTACCTTTTAAATGCCCTCTCTCAGAATCACCACAATGTGAGTTGTAACTGAAACACGGGTTTCATCATTTGTTGCAAAGCAATTCTTTTTAAAATACACTTCCGGCTTGTGTTTGAACAAACTCGACGAAAGAGGCCAATTTCACTGTTCTTTCACTTGAGCAAATATTGTGCAATCGCATTCAACTGTTCATACTGATGAAGCTGCTCTGAAAGTATGTTCGTTGACTTAGAAAGAATGTCTGATCACAACATCCCATTTCTTTCAACTGATACCTTTATTCTCATCAAATTATCTGCCTCCCATGTTCAAAATACCCATCCATCCATTTTCTACCCATCTTATCTTCATTAGGGTGATGCCAGAGCTGAAGCCTAACCACAGAGAATTTCAGGCCATGCAAACAACCACTCACACGCACGTTCACACCTTTGGACAATTTAGTGTAATCAATTAATCTAACATGCATGTTTTTGAAATGTGGGAGGAAGCCAGAGTCTTCAGCAACCACTGGGAGAACATGCCAACTCCACAGGAAGGTCGGCGCTGAGATTCAAACCCCAAACCATAGAACTGTGATGCAGACATGCAAAATATGTTCACATAAAATCAATATTTGCAATATTTGATATGAATTCTTGTAATTGCAAGCTTATTCTTATAATCTGCAACTTTTAAAGCACAATCGCCCTTGAAAAAATAGGGGGCATTGATGTAAAATTCAGGTTAACTTCATTTCAGCTGTATGCATTTTAATAAATAAAGTTAAATAAGTCAACTACAATAAAGTTGTACTTGATACTTGATGTTTATTTCTGGGCAACCCTCTGCATGAACTAAACTTGTGATCACAGTTAAATAACAGAAACTCAGCTACAACAGTCATGAGGGATCATTTGCAATTGCTACCTAAAAATAAAGAAGAAATAGGATGTTGACAGCACTCACCCGAAAAGCAGTGTCTGTTGTGACAGTTCGGTTGTCAAAGTAGTTTATACTGTAAACAAAGAACACGAACATAGACTTTAGATTGACGTCATGCTTCTGACACCACTGCATTTGCTTAGCTAGCCTATCAATAGCACGCCATATACAAAAAACACAAACCAAAAAATGAATTGAAATAATGTTACAGAGTAATGCTGGCAGCCAATAACAACACAACATTAAGCACTTTGTTATATGTTTAAGTGTGCAGGAATGTGCGCATCCACCAGTGATGAGCTGTCAGGAGTGTTTCCTTGTTGTACTGTGTTCACCTTACCACGATACACCATTACTGGTAACATAGAACATGTGCTGGTTTTCAAAACAACTTTGAAATTTCTCAAAAGAGAAAGTGTATGCGTTAAAATAAAGGAACATTTTCCAAATTCATAGTTGAGAGACCCCCCTCAAAAGCTTTTAGGTGAGCAAGGACATTTTTCAAATCCATGAGCACATCTTTATTAGAGATTTTTCTATACTTCTGCAAAACCGCATGTATTTTGAACCCACCACTGGTCAAGTCACTTAAGATGTTGCTCAAAGCACATTGATGGCTTATATTTTCCGTCGCTTACGACACTAATTTCATTAATGTTATCAACTACAAATGTGTCTTAACTGTGCTATACGCCTTCAGGTCTATGCATCGAAACAACATGTGTGGGTGTTGGTTCATTGTCAACTCAATTTGTCTATCAATGTGTGAGTGCCAAATTAAACCCCACGCTACCTGACCACCATTTAAAAACTGTGTTTGGGTCTTGATTCTTTCATATTTTGTAGCCCTTGGCTTTTTACAATTACTTTAAGTTCATCATTATTTATGTCGCCTGTATCCTGTTTACCAAGCCTTCCAATAATACAAACCTTTTGAAAATAAAAATATTTTAAAAGTTGTAAAAGTTTGAAACTCGGATGAAATAAAAAAGGGCACGACTACAAATCTCAACTGCTGTTGTCTTGGTATTTAGAGGTTAAGCAGAAATGTGAACATTTTCACCGGTTTTAAGGACTTAAATATTTGGCGCAAGAAAATTATGCTTGTCACTGGAATCGCCTTTAAAAGATGATGCCTAATAATGTTGGTCTCGTGTAAATGAATCTTTGAGATTTTACTCACATACCCACAAAATGGTTTAATACCGACAGTCAATAAATCACATCTTGTTCGCAATTCGCAGTTATACGCGATATCAAGCGCACTGTTTTGTAGGTCTAAGTATGCCGAGTTAAGTGCTAAGTTAGCATACGTCAGACAGAACCCTACGACCATTTGACACTTATTCACACCTTTCTCGTTAAGTCACTGGGCGTGAAATATAGCACCGGGAAAGTTTAAACGAATTAAACCAAGTTGCAAGCTACCGCGGTGACAAAGTTCCCTTGTTCGTGGACAAGTTACCGTTAACCAATTAGCCGAGAACGCTAGCTCGACAGCCTCCCAGATCGTCGATCAACTGCAACAATACAATGAATGGTGGACGTTATTTCCATACGTTGAGCGTGTTTGATTTTAAGCGTGTTTTAAATTCATCATCTAGATGTATACATTTCGTGGTCACCTAATCTCCGAACTGGCGCTAACTAACGACATAGCATAACAGCTAGCTAGCACAAAAACAAACATCTCGAGGGTCAAAGTAGCTGATATTTGAATGGGAAATACCACAGCGCACCGACTTCCGAGGAGTGCAGCATTTAAGGTTGCGTGGCTACCGTAGACAAGCGAAAAATGACGGTAGGAAGCTATTTACATAACCACATACGTGAGTGCTAACGCTAGCTAGTTAGCCGTTGCCTGTTGGCCGTGAACGAACGTGCCGCTGTGTGGGAGAAGATGCGCGAGGAGGGAGCCCATTTCGCTCGATTTGTTATCAGCGAGTGGCGCTACGGTTGGGGGTGAGGGGGGCGTCAAACTAAAATCAACATTTCTTAAAGACATACTGATCATCGCCCACGTGACTGAATTCGAGTAGGACTACAGAAGTAGCCGGTGTTCGAATCTTGGGGGAAAATGCTCGTTATTTACCCCGAAGAAACTCTTTGGAGAGTGCTGAGACAGTGTGCGTGCGTCGGCGGTTCCCTCTCTCCCGATCGCCATGAAATTGCACAAAAGAGGAAGTGCAATGTTTAGTGGGGGGCAGTGTGAGCGTGAGCGTGCGTCTGAGAAAGAGCGGCGGTGGTCTGGAAGGAGCGCCCTCACCTTTCATGGCGGAACGGTTACCTTGTCCGAGAATTTCAGTGAACGGAGCTTCATTAACCTAACCTTCAGTTACCAGAGCTAGCAAAAGTACTCACAGTCTGTACTTAAATACAAGTACATCTACTTTTGTAAAGAAAAAGAGTGATGCAAATGTAAGAAAAATAGTGTAGACTGAATTTATTAGTCATGCATTAGTCAACACTTAGCAGTCAGGTCTGCTAAGTGTTTCCTTGGCTTTGCCAACGTTGTGAACTGAGTAACAAAAATTCAAAATTAGTTGTTGTTACTAGTAGTCTGAAAAAGTACACCATATCTTATCTATACTTTATGTGTTACAGACAGTTTTTGTGTGTATTTAGGATGGCGGAAGACAGAATACATTGGCCATGTTGGCTATCATTATGGGAGACTTCTAAAAATTCTCCAAAGTGAATTCACAATTGAATTTGTAAACATGTGCAAAGATTGAAAAGTATGTCGGTCCCAGTTGTGGAAATATAGACTTGAACAGTGTTTTACCATTTAAGTTTTCCCTATTTTTTGTGTGTGTTTGTTTTGTTTGATCGTTGCTAATATTGTACACTTGGGAGTCTGGCTTGAGAACCACTCTCCCCCTAAGCCCTCAAATTTTGGTAGCCCAAAATGAGATTTGAGGGGTGCTGTCGGAAATTCACTGATGCCCTAACACAACTGAGAGCGTGTGTTCAGAGAGGCAGAGCATGCTCCCCTCTCATTAATTTCCGAATGCAGCCTTTGTTCTTAACCAGGGGTGTCAAACTCAGGTCTCGGTGGGCCGCTGTCCTGCATGTTTTCCCAAGTCTCCCTATTGGAAAACATGCAGGACAGCGGCCCGCTAGGACCTGAGTTTGACACCTATGTTCTAAACCAATCGGCGAGCTTGTGCTTGAACTTCTGTGTACTGCCTGGATCTCTTTCCTGCTCTGTGCCTGCTCTCTGAAAACAAGTTTCTTCCAAGTCTTCTGTCACTCACTCACATACTCACACTCTCTCTCTCTTTTTTTCTCTCTCACTATCAAACACCATCTTCTTGAGGGTTCCCTCAATGTTACTGTCTATGTTGTGCAGAAATAGAACGTAATGTGCTCTTTTCTTTTCAGCTTGAACTTTAGACGTAAAGCATTGGAGAAGAATAACCAACATTTTAGCAGCTTAGTCTATGAATAACATTTACTTTAACAGGCTTGTGTTGTGGGCTTGCTTGGTTTTGTGTTGCGGTGTTGTTAATTAACTTCAGCTAGAAGTAGGTTGAACGTGCTCATGTGACAAGACCCCTAACTCCAGCCAGGCCCAGTAAAATTGGTCAAGAAGCACCACTCAGTAAAAGTAAAATGTCATCAAAGAAATAAATGCTCAAGTACAGATATCTGAAAACTGTAGTTAAGTATTTGTACTTTGGTACCTCCCAACACCGATCACCTCCAGTGGTGGTGTGTAGAAATTAGTTTGAAATATTCTGGGGTTCACTATGTGCTCACAAACATTGGGCCAATGTGTCTATTTATTTTTTTAAAGTAAGGTTCTTTATTGCAATTATTGCAAGATTATTATTGTGGGGCTGTGCTTTGCATCATACTGAAAGGTTTAAGGCTTATTGAGCTACATATCACATGAACATTTTTGTGTCATTCTCTATCAAATTTTATTGGTACATAAATTGTGCAATATATTCATATCCAGAATATTTCCATCTGAAAACGTATGCAAAATCAATCATCTCTGAAAGGCCACCAATATTCATCTGTATCAGTCACTCACATCCACACTGACTTGGTTCCATTTGCTTCACAATCCATTACATTGTGCCATACTGTATGTAATGGGCTGGCTGCAACATTTTAATTTGAGTAATTCAACAGGCTAGTCAAGTGCATAACATACTCACTCTGAAGTATCTGAATCAGCACAAACAGAAATTCATAAAGCTCTATGTTTAAGGTGTGGTCCAATCACAGTGGCATTCGCGTTGCCATTTAAAAACATTTGTCATTAACAACCAACTTAAAAGAAACCAGCAACATGGAAGATAAATTAGTTAGAATGTTGCAAGATAATTATTAACAGTAGCATCTGCAGTGGCAGGGGCACTTCGAGGTGTTCCAGACTTGTCAAATTGGTTGGCAAAAGCCACGGAAGCCTCCAAACAGATCTCATCTGATCTGTGAATACTTTTCAGGTGAGAGGGGCATAGAACTCCAAACAACATGGATAAATGGACATAGTGGATTACTCATTAAAAATACTTTAACATCATACAAAACTAAACATATCTATAGTGAATGGTGGATTTCAGGAATAGCAGCTGGATCACGGAATGTACAATGAATAAGGCTTATGTCCTCAGCTCATAACGTCACTTCCAAAGGCCTCAAGACAGAGGCTGACTTCATCATGATTGAAAACTGTTTTGAACTACCAGTTTAACTAACATTGACCATCTTCCTTATTCTGGATCTATCTGCAGGGCAGGAGAGGAGACTTGGGGATTTTCGTTTACGTGTCTTCGTTTTAGATGGGCTTTCATTGTCTCAGGCTCGAGTTACACTGTGCGCGGCCACAACATGCAATGATTTCAGTTTTAGTTCATAATGTATCCTCACAGTAGACATGCACCACTGGTCAGCAAATTAGGTACACCATCACAATCTGATGAGAACCAATAAAAGTCGCAGTGTGGTGATTACTGTATTAATGTTACTTATCTGAGTATTTATTATTATCATCCAGGTGATCATGTGTTGGGCTTTTATCTCAACTTACACTGTCAGCTTTTAATAATTACATTGTGGCAGTATAAAATGGCCATATGTTAAGCTAACTGGTTATGTTACATTGTCAGGCCCAATGATTATTTGTCCACGCACCCTGAGACTGACTGATGATCAGTCCAGGCAGTCCTCCGCCTTTTGCCTCACGTCAGCTGGGATAGACTCTATTTACCCATGACTCTGAAGAGAACAAGCGGTATATAAAATGGATCGATGGGTTGTGCAACCCATCGATCCATTTGGTCCTAACGTTCGGACCAATGTGAGTGTACACTGGTAAACGCACAAAATATATTAACACTAACAGGGTGACTTGTAAACACATTTCCAACTATTTTTTTAAAACTCAGGTTTTATCTCAACCAGTGGTTCTCAACATGGGTTTGATCAAACCCTAAGGGTTCGGTGAATCGATCTCAGGGGTTCGACAGAGCCTCTGCCTTGGAGGTTAAGACACACCCGACCGACTCAACATGTCAATTAGTTATGACACGCCCGCGGCAGATGATCACATTACATCGCTTGTCCAATCAGTGCTGTGGGTGATTTAGTTCCCTCGGTCATCAACATGTGGCTGTCGTGATAGTACATAGTGATTTTTTTTTTTTTTTTAAGAATTTTTTTTAATACATGCTATGTCGAGCAAAAAAAAAAAGTGGTCCGACGAATATGTACAACATGGATTCACATGCATCACGGAACGTGATGGGACTGAGTGTCCTATCTGCATGATTTATGCTAAGTTGAGCACCTCTAGTCTCGCACCGGCAAAACTTCTTGAATCATATTTTTATGTTTCACTCATGACGGGTTCGGCGAATGTGCATGTGAACTGGTTGGGTTCGGTACCTCCAACAAGGTTAAGAACCACTGATCTAAACCTACAAGGCAATCAGAATAAAATGATGAGGGCCTAAAATTTGCCAACATGGTTTGTATTGCCATGGATGTTTCATCAGGCCTGTGGTGCAACCTACTGGATCATTTCATATTTATGTCAATTTTCCAAAAAGTAGACTTTGTACAGCTGGCAAATGTGTTGGTCTCTAAAGTCACTCTACTCCAGAAAAGAATATCAAGACAAGCACTACACATCCACATGGCAGCCCTACTTCAAATTAAATAAATGAGTTACCAGAAAAAAAAGCCATATCAATAATCTGGCCACACAAAGAATTGTTAATTTCACTTTGCAGTGCTGAATAGGGAGGCCCTGTGACTCTGATGATGATGTTTTGTTGTTTTAATTTTGAAACAGTAACTAGCTTGCAAGTGGTTTGTTTATAACTGCAAACTGATTCTATCTTTACTCTTGTCATAAGCCTGAGCCGGAGAGCATGTAACAAGTGTGCTTAACATAGTAAAGGAAGCTGTGACCACAGGAAGCGGAGTTTCCCTCGATCATCATTCAAGTAGAGTTCTGTGCAGTCCCTTTCAAAGATCAAATGGGCCTCAGGCGTCGCAGTTCTTTTTATGGTATCATCTTAATCCTCCTCTTCACTTTCAGTTTTCTTCTATGAGGTTCAAGTCGAGTTCTGTGCAGTCCCGTTCAAAGAGCAAATGGGCCTCAGGCGTCACAGTTCTTTTTATGGTATCATCTTCATCCTCTTCTTCACTTTCACTCAGTGGTCTGATGCTGGCATGACCCAGGAGCTCCACAGGAGAGTTATGTTTCGTTTGGGAATGGATCAGAGCCACGCAAGCACCTGAACCCGAGACTAGGGCCACCCCATTGCCAATCTGGTGAAAGAGGCAAAATTGCCATCAGGGAGATACACTCTGCTAATATTCTGGCAAAAATAAAATGCCATACAATGAATATAAAAAGTCTACAGCCCCGCCTGTTGAAAATGCCAGGATTCTGATATTTTTTTAAAAATGAGAACATGAAAATTCATTTTACAACTGATTCCTAACACCAATATGAGCTACTTTTACTTAACATGGTCAGAATCAACCAATCACATTCAAATTTGTATTACCGGTAAGAGGGAGTCAGCACACACCTCCCACAATTTAAAGTAACTGATTGACCCTAATCAATGTCAGTTTTTGTGCTGACTTATATTTGAAACTATTATGTCGCTCCACCAGCTGGAGAAAAACAGCGCCAAAGCACGATTCTATCATGTTTCAAAATGAGGCAAAAACGCAATTGTAAACTCCCAAACACGTGGGAAAATGTGTTATGGTCTGACGAAACAACAATCCCAATTGGATTTTACTCTTAACTCAGTGCACATGCACATATGCAATATTTATCAGAATGCTGTGTTTAGACTAGTGGGGCTGCATAGAACACATTCTTGTCAAGAAAATGTTGGTGTTGCCGTCCCCTTTAATACAAAACCACAACTTTTTTGGAATTGGGTTTGCGGAAATTTCTTTGAGTGGCAGGTGTACGCCATCTCCTATTTACAGAAACGCGCATCATTGTGATTGGCTAATTCTGAACACAGCAACATCCCAAATTATGAGGGTGTGCACAGAACCATATTTTCTCATTGTTATTCCTCTCAAAAAGATTTTTTTTTCTCTTCACTTGAGTTGCACAGGTTATAGGGCACAATAGCAGAAAAGGCTTTGAAATTAGTCTCTCTGTCTTAAAAAAATAATAATAACAAAACCCTGACATTTGAACAGAGGGTGTAGACTTTTTATATCTACTATGTGATTAGTATTCCTCTACTTAAAGTAATTGAAGCACTAATTTTACAAACGAGATTGGTAGAAGCAAACAAAATGAGCACACATCCGCATGAGCTGCTGTCAGCCACAGCTTACGCCTAGACACAAGCAGACATGCCGGTTACACCCCACCCCGCCATACCGCGCCTCTTAAAAGGCACATATCGACACAGATGTCACAATACATCCATATGTTTTTTTATTTTATGCTTCCATTTTTTTTCTTTGTGTTCAAATACATTTTCAATGTGTTTAAAAAGTGTGTTTAAGTAATTATTTCGTCTCTCTATAGACAGAGGTTTTCTTCTATTGTGGTGGGTCTGGAACATTTACCCCCCACAATAAATGGGAGGTTCAAGGTGTGCGTGTGCATAAAGCTTTTTTTTTTTTTTTTTTTTTTAATAATTGCCACACCAGTGGTGATCAGGGATGTCAAGAAAAAGAAATAACACAACCATCATAAAACTGGAACGTGATTAGGATACAGCTGTAGAATAGCATGTAAAGTGGTACAGATGTCACAATCCTGACCGCCCAGCGCAATATGGTTAATTGTACAATAAATTAAGAGAGACATTTTTAACATGTTTTTTTACCGTTGTCAGAATGTTAAAAAGCTTGATCATTAAAACTGCTTCATTTTCAGCAACACTGCTTTTCTGTTTCGCCCTATACTCCAGGTATGAAGCGTCAAAGGGCTCACTTTCATAGTACCATACAACTTTGTACACTTTTGTCTGTTAAGAATTGTAAAATGATAAACCATTGTCTGCACGGGGAAAAATGTTTTAAAGTTTCATCCTGCAATGGATTCATTCTTTTTTTTTTTGGATGAAGAAATTCAATAGCTTGTGTGACTGACCTGTGAGTAAGTGTAGAGCAAACCTTATACATTGCCTTGTAGAGAGTAAATAAAACTAACCTGTGTCATCTTACTGAAGTCAAGCCCCGGCCTGGGGCCAGGTAACACATCTGGGTCGTGGCGCCGCTTCAAGCGAGGTCTGCGCATGTCGCAAGGCTGTGAGTGGCATCGTGGTAGTGCGGGGCACACGTCGCGTCGAGAGGAGGATGGTGTGCTACAGGCTGAAGTAGGGGAAGCAGACAAAGCTGGGCACTCCATGCCCAAGCGCCCATACGACAGAGCAGAAGTGTGGGCCAGCTGTGGCTGCTGGGACAACACTGACGTGTTCAGTACTTGCAGAGGCGACAGGGAGTAGCAGCGGTGCAGCACAGAGTGGCCGACTAAGGGTGTCGGGGATGAGGAGCAAGAGGATGGGGTGGCGAATGATGAAGAGCAGGTTGTTTTTGGTGAGTCACATGGGTCCCATGGAAAGCTCCACGACAGCGGTGAGTCGGCAGATAATGCTAAGCTAAAGAAAGTAGGGCTCGAGGAGGAATGTCGAGAGGATGACTCTGAGACGGTCGTGGGACCGCAAAAAGGCATCGAGCTGCCAACTAAGCCTAAATGAGCCGTTCCGACACTTTGGCTGACGCGTTTTACTGGGGTCCAAACTTTGGATGCACAAGGATACCACGTGGAGCGGCACTGAGACAGGTCCTCTGGAACAGACAGGGAGCGACAGTGGCGTTTTGGAGGGGGTGGCGGTGGGGAGCTCTGAAAAGTGTTGGCTGTAATGGAATCCAGTCCACATGTTGCATCAAGTGGTTTGGCTTTGAATGATGGCTGTGCAGCAAAGCTGCTCTCTGGAAATGCCACGACAAAACTTGACACAGATTTTCACACCTTACAAATGTACCACTTATTTCACTGAACTTGCCTTGCGCTGATTTGCATGCATTCCAGGAGATTGCGGGGCTGGAGCCTAATGCAGGGAGTGTCTGAAAACATGAGACAGGTCATTCAAATGCCAAAAAAACCTCAAGTAAAGCTACGTTTCCACAAAGCAATACAGGTTTGTTTTTCCACCACGGGCGCGTCGCCAAAATGGCAGTAGATGTTTCTGCTATATAGTATGACATCATACCGTTCCAAAAAGACCGCATGGAATTGTCCCGTAATTTTAACAAAGAATGTAAAGAACATAAGAGTCCCATGTGCACACACCAAGAATGGGCATTTGACTGTATTTACTTGGTTTTACTACAGAAGGAAAATGGTCAAATCATTTTGTGACTAGTATCTCTAGGAAACGTACTGAACTCCTGTTTTGATGTCAGTGTCATATTTAGCAGAGTAATGGAGGGAGCTGACGTAGTGTGGATGTAGCACAACTTCAAATAGATGCAGTCAAGTGGTGCCATTTTGCTCCAATTACAACAAGACACGATGAATTAAGAACAAAACATGAACCAATTACTATGCCCGTCCCTAGAGCACTACCTGAATAGGAAACGCAGCTCTGAATTCCCCTCCACTTGTAATGCACAATACATTAATAAAAGCTCTTTGTTTTTCAAGTTAGATTTTCTTCTAACTTGAAAGAATTGTTGAAAATGGTAGGGAATTTTCTGTTGGCCAATTACTGAACAGCGTCAAGTCTAACGCAGGGTTAACATGGTGCCTGTGGGTCCCTGAGAACCACATGAGCAGCCCATGGGGGGGGTCCTAATAATAGGTCAGTGATGGAATATTGTGATTTCGTTGGAATGTTGTAGAAATGATCATTTAAAAATGCTTGTAGAAATTAATAGGAAATCCTTGTTGATAATTATTGTGTGACATCATCACATCTACATGAATATCCATCCATTTTCCATCCAATCTCTATACTGGTTATCCTCATTTGGGTAGCGGGTGAGCCGGAACCTATCCCAGGTGCCATTGGGCAAGAGGCAGGATACACTCTCAACAATAATTATTAATAATAACAATGAAATGTAATTTGAGCAAATGTGTTTTATTTTACAAGTATGTTTCAAAGTGGTCGCCCACCGCATTAATCATCACAGAAGAGGTACATAACTATCAATTTCAAAAAGGTTTGTGACCCCGGGTCTAGTGCCATGAGTCATCCCAACAACTTGGTACTAAAAGTGTGAAAGTTCCAGTTTGCCATTTTCAAGAAATAAGTGTGTTTATTTATTATTCCAATAAAAACGCTTCCATAGTTGGATTCAGAGCGGTAACTGAGGGACCGGAAGCAGCAAGTATTAAAATATAAAATAGTGCAGTTAGCAAAATTCCCAGCAAGAGGAGTGCACCATAAATAAAACAAAAACCATCAAATGCAGCAGTATCTTGTACATTCAGTGAAATACTCTGTAGTTTGGTGGCATTTACTGTAAAATCCTAAACATACTACATTATGCGTAGACATTCTTATACATGTAAATAATTGTGGACAATATACAATATAAAGGTAATTTAATGTTACCATACCAAGCTGAACTAAACGGAACCACCATGAAGCTAACTGATACAAATTGCACAGCAAGCACACTGACCCAACTCAACTCACATTGAAAGCCTTGTGATAAGGTTCTTCCAGACTTTGCTTTCGGAGCTGCTCTGTGATAAGTGTCACCATAATGGTTGCGCTGATCCAGGAACAGACATGTAGAGCAGTTTTGTCAGACACCTGGCATGATTTATTCCGTGTGGCCTCCACACCTCATTTGGTTGGATGCATTAATACCATCTTCGTTTCACCTGAAGGTAGACGAGAAAGATCATTACAGTAGAGTCTAAACCATTTTCAAGCTTTGGGGTCATGTTAATTTACCAGCAGTTGAACATACTGAATATTCTAGAATATTCTGGTCTTGATAGTGTGAAAAGCTTTATAAATCGCTCTCTTTGGTAAAGAAAAATCCAGAAAGAGTGAGCGCCTGAACTTATGAATCTCCACTAAGTGTCTAATGCACTCGTGAAAGCCAGAAGCCGAAGTTCACGTTCACAAAAGCAGAGAGCACCCATGGACACGAGGAGAACCAGAACAAAGAAACACTTCACATTCCATCATGGTCACTTAGTAAGTGAGCACTGCAATCCCTTATTACTGGCACAAAAATCTACCGTCACAGCAAAGAACACGCAGAGCAAATCCCAAGTGGAAAGCTTGTGGATGAAAATGTGGGACTCAAAAGTTCGTAGGGTCCGCTTGAACAGATAACAGCAGATGTGGCTTGCGGAGAAAACCAAAGGGGGAGGGAGAGAATAAAAAAGGAGAGAATGGGGGAAGTGTGAGGAAAATGAATGGGGATAGGGGTTGGAAGCATGCCATAGAATCTTTACAAGAAGTACAAAGGAATGATGACAAAGTAACCCAGCATTTAAAATACCAAAGCAAATGCAAACTACTTGGATGTATCTAGGTATTTTGCATTTATTTTGTTCTACATACAAAAAAAAAAACCCAAACAAGTTCTGTGTATTAACATATCAAATCAACTAATACCCAAATCTGCAAACGTCAGCTCAAAAAAAAAAGTTAGTTACCTTGGCTGATCCAATTGCTACATTTCAAAATAACTGGGGCGAAAAAGTAACATGACAATATGATAGTTTATGGGCTCTACAGCAGCTAGTAAATATGGCACCAAAAGTGATTTAAATTGTATTTGCTCTAGAAAGCAAACATTATGTTCCAAATCCAGGTTAACAGTGCTGACAATATGCAACTGGTAGAATATGGTGTGACTGGTGTTGGCAGTCAGATGAGGCCTGGAGGACCTTCCTCCAAAGGGTGAACGTGGTGCTACATGTCAGAAAAGGCAAAGCTTTTCCCCAGGACCTAAGTACGCAGAGCCTCACACATATGAGCAGACACTTAATTCGCGCTTTAACTATTCAAACTAGTATTTCCCATAATTTGAAGTGCTTCTCAGAACAAGATACATCATGAATCCACAATTTATGGAATGAATAAAGCGAATGACAACACAAGAGTCCATAATTTATCAAACTTAAGTGTTTTGAGTTGTTTTTGGGTGAGTTTTCTGCATTCATTTTGGGGTCTCAATGGACATTAAACATTCATTCAGTACATCCTCAACGTCAGCTACAATGCAAATAATCGTCATTGTCAACGCTATACTTATTGGCTTTTTGTTTTAATTCGAGACGCGGCGTGAATTGAGCAACGTTAGCTCAGCAGCACGATGCAGCTCGTGCAACACAATTTAGCCGTCGCCTTTGGTAGCCAGCTAGTAGGACAACAGACGTCACAACTACTGAGGTTATAAATTGTCCTGTTCGGTCCATTTTATGTTGACTATTCGCTTGACATAGTACACAATTGCGACTGTTACTCTTGAGACAACATGACGTGGCGGAATAAGCACGGCCGAGCAGATTTGATCGCGTGAGCTAGCTTTACGCAGTTTATTTGCAAGCTAGCGTGTTATATCTGTCCTGATGTATTACCTTCGTTTTACGGTTCCATAGCAACCGAAGCTGCACACATTGCTCCGGAAGAGGAGCGCTCGGCGGAGTATTTATATAGCCTCTGGACGATACTATTACAGGAAAGGGAGGGGGTACTCGCTTCCAATGCCGCCATTAGAGAACACCGCAAGTACCATTTGTACTGTAAATTAACGGAATTATAATAATATAATTGCACTTATTTGCAGCCACACAATCGACATTTACACTGTACGAATTCTAATCTGTACGAAGACTAACCCATAAAGCACAACAGTCGCAAACTAGGGCGGAAATGTCGTAACGCTGTAACAGAATGGAGTTATATTACACACGTATCCCTGCAACAAACAACCTAATCCAATCCTGATACGTGTCAGGTTTCCATACAGACATCTGGATTGGTTGCAAAGAATTATAATGCAACTCCTAAATGCGCAGTTGATTTTAAGAACCGTTCGACTTTTCTAAACCAGATTTACAGTGATTTGACGACATACAACTCTAACATAAGGAAGATATGGCTTCAGAACTACTCAGAAAAGAGGAAACCCTGACAATGAGGAGACAATTGATCGGGTAAGTACTCTTTAAGAAAACATGCAATGTAACTGCTGACCTATATAGTTCTGTAAACTCTACCAGTTTATTTTCTCGCACTTCATTTGATAAGCGTTGCATATTTTTGATTGCAGGCAATCGTGCAGACTTTTTTATTCAGACGATCCTGTCAAAATTGTAAGAGCAAGGGGGCAGTATATTTTTGATGAGAACGACAAGCGCTATTTGGACTGCATCAGCAATGTTCATCATGGTAAAATATTTTATGCCGCGCAATGGCTTTAAAACTGCACGCCACACTAGTGCCATCCGGTGGTAACAATGATTATAATACACGGTTTTGTATTGTAGTGGGCCATTGCCACCCCAGTGTTACAAAGGCTGCAACGGATCAAATGGACCTTCTTAACACCAACACGAGATTCCTGCACGACAATTTGGTCTTGTATGCAGACCGCCTGGCTGCCACCTTGCCTGAGCGACTGTCCGTCTTCTATTTTGTCAACTCTGGGTGCGTAACACAAAAAGTTAGAGATATTCAGCTTTCGGGGATGCTTTCAGGATAACCCCAAAAAAGCATTGTACCTTTAATGGGCGAACTTTTTGTACATCTTGCTGTACTCTAATTACGAGGCTGGATGGCAAAATTCACAACAGGTTGCCCCCTCCCCGTGGATGTCTAATTCTGTGACTCTTCTTGCAACCTGCTCATGACATAACGCTCAGACCAACTCACATTTTTGAGAGTCATCTTGGGCTCATGATATCAAAATGTGAACAGCATGATTAAGAGGACTGCTTGAATGCCCACTGTAATTGAACAATTACATTTAATGGTGCATGGATGAAATTCCTGTTGACATTTTTGTCATTCAGCTCCTTGTTAGAGCAAGCTGTGCAAAAGGTAATGCAACATTAAACAAGTGCATGTGCAGTTTAATTTTGGGGGTTCATTCTGACATTTGACCTGAAATCTCAATATCAACTTTTAAGTAGTGTATTTCTGTCGGTACCTAACAGTGCTTCTTCCAACAGCTCCGAGGCCAACGATCTTGCACTACGCTTGGCTCAGCAGTACACTCAACACGAGGACGTCATCGTGCTTGACCAGTGAGGATTCCCCCTACAACAGATCACATTCATTTCCTCACTGTGATTCATAAGTGTCAAATCTGCTTTTAGCGCATACCACGGTCATTTGATGTCCCTCATCGACATCAGTCCATACAAGTTCCGGAAATTGAATGGACAAAAAGAATGGGTTCATGTGGTATGTAAATATATACTGTATTTGTACAAACGGCTAAAACATGTTTTTGTGTTATTGAATACTGTAATGTGTTTCATTGTGTCAGGCACCCTTACCAGACACCTACAGAGGCATCTACAAAGAGGATGAACCAAATCCTGGTCAATCTTATGCAGATACAGTCAAGGACTTAATAGAGGAGGTGCACAGGAAAGGTCGCAAGGTGACCTAAGAAAATGAGTCACCAAAGGTATGCATCATTCACACAAGCAACAATTTCCATTTGCCACAGATATCTGCCTTCTTTGCCGAATCAATGCCAAGCGTGGGAGGACAAATCATTCTGCCAGAGGGATACTCCACTAAAGTGGCAGAGTAAGTCTTGTTTTGCTGATAGCATCAGTACAAGGACGTACACTTTGCTTTGTTCTCCACAGGTATGTGCGCTCAGCAGGCGGGGTGTTTGTGGCGGATGAGGTGCAGACTGGCTTTGGGCGCGTTGGAAGTCACTTTTGGGCTTTTCAGATGCAAGGAACAGATTTTTGCCCCGACATAGTAACCATGGGCAAGCCAATGGGCAACGGACATCCCATTGCGTGCGTAGTAACAACAGTGGAGATAGCCAGAGCTTTCACCGCCAATGGAGTGGAGTACTTCAATACGGTAATTGCAATTTTTGTTTTAGCGTTCATATCAGAATTTAAACATACAAATTGATGCACTGAAGACTTAATGACATGGACAATTCTTTGCAGACTTCTATGTGGATTTCCTTATAAAGCAAAAACATATAATTGTCCATTTTCTTCCAGTTTGGCGGGAACCCAGTGTCTTGTGCAATTGGTCTGGCTGTCCTTGATGTAATCGAAAAAGAGGACCTGAAAGGGAACGCCAAAAGGGTCGGCGCACACCTGAAAGATTTGTTCAACAGGCTGAAAAGTCAACATGAACTTATTGGAGATGTTAGGTAATAGCACAATTTGGTTCTGTTGGAAAATCAGCCAAAAACATTCATTTTATGGAGAATCGTGAACATCATGTAAGCTAATCCCCATTTATGCTTAGCTAATGTAGTCATGATTTTTCTGAAAACCTGGTATTAAAAAAAAAAAAGTATTTGTTTCCTGTTTGTTTTTTTTTTTACAAAAAGCAATCAGTGCCGCAAAACCAAAGCTGCCATTTTACAGGGGCGCCGGACTTTTTGTAGGAGTTGAGCTGGTAGAAGACAGAGAACTGAGGACACCTGCCACCAAAGCAGCAGCACAGGTCGTGAAAAGGTGTAACAGCAACATACATCACACCAAAACCACATCTGCGTCGACATCGCTGAAACTTGAATCAGGGGAAAATAATTGTTGGGGCACCTTATAAACCACTCACGCGAGTTGCTCAGTGTGGTAATTCCTAACTGGCAGGGACATAGCTGAAAGTCAAAACATCTTTTTCATTTCTTGTTCACTTTAGTCCTTGGTGCCACTGAAGGTGTACCATGTGCCTAACAGAAAACATGGATTGCCTATAAACACCTTTTCTTTTAGCCGTCCAATGCCAAAGCTATTGATGCAATTAACTTCAGTGATTTGGATTTTCAAGGAAACATAGGAAAACAGCTGTGTCAGCCCTTATGTGCCATTTATGTTTACACCTTTCTCAACAAATGTACCTTCATTGTTCCAAATTTTTTAAATGACAAAACAGGGGTGGTCAATATTTTTGTCTCATTCAGGCTCAAAATGGAGGATCGAATCTGTGTCAGTACAGATGGGCCCTGGGAAAATGTCTTGAAGTTTAAACCACCCATGTGCTTCAATATGGAGGATGCTGAGCTGGTGGTGCACTGCATTGATCGGATCCTGACAGGTTCACACCAGTAACCCTAATGGTCAAATGCACTTAACAATACCCTCAACACAATTTCTACTTTGTCATTCCTTAGACATAGAGGCCAACATGAAGCTGGAAAAGGAAGACATCTAGGTTTGTTGATCCTGTAGAAAATGTTTTAATTTGATCATACATTGTCAGACTGTCACATTCATTCATTAAATTCAGAGGTAGTGATGACCCATTATCTAACAAAGAGCAAACGCAATAATTTCACACATCGCCATTGTCTTATGGTCTTGAGGGTGGACAATAAGTTTTCATACAATAGGAAAATATAGGTTTGTTTTTTTTTTTTACATTTCAGATACCTTAGGTACACAAACCATCCATCCAGACATTCACAAATCGCTCTTCCTCACGAGGGTCACGTATTGAAAATGTTTTTTTTTTTTTTAATTTCAGATGCCCGAGGTATTATAGGTACACGAACAATGTATGAAAACTTATGGCCCGCCCTGTATTTAGAAATTTCAAATCAGAGGCAACTAATTGTGGTAACACTATGGTACTCGAAAATAAACAATCATTTTGTTCCTTGAGGGACTATGCACCATTTTGCAAGACTGAAATCAACAGATTCAATCCATGAGTCCCATCCATACCTACGAGTTTTACAATCATTGCCGCTTTGATATGTAGCCTGCGCAGTTATTTATTTTCCATTAAAGTGAACAGATGGTTCTCCTTTTAATAGTTTGTAATAATGTTACAATATGCCCACTAAATCAATACGTTAGAGATTAGCACTTACCAGATCACACTCACACTAACATTCGTTCAAGTATCGCAGTTCCACATCTAGTGGGTTGAATATTAATACTGCAGGTGGTGAAGCACTCTCCCGCAGCTTCCCAATGAGGCATCCGTCGCGATGATTACTCCAGCTATATCAAGCAAGCCATTTAACAGTACAAAACATTTAACATTAACTTTACAAATAATAACAAATAGATCCATTTGTAATATAAACCAAAAGTTTATTTCTACCAATTTGCCCAAGACACTAGAGGAATGAGTATCCAGTGAGGGAGAGGGGGTGCCCTCTTACATTTAACAGGCTTGCGTTGAGTTGTATTACACTAGTAAAGCCACTTAAAATTGCAGACACGATCGGGGAAGAATCGACATAAAAGCAAACAAAATAAACAAAAAAAAACCCAAACAAAACAAAAAAACAACATATGCCGGTTGTCTATCTACTAGGCCATCTGCAAAAATCATTTAACACGCTTACAAATGAATCCATTGATTGGTTTCAATCCCTTAAATTTGTCTCACCCCCACATCTAAAGCCATGCAACTTGCATTCCAACAGTCAGCACGTGAGTACATAACTAAAGATCTAGGAACACTGGGAAAAAAAAAAAAGCTAAATTGTTTTATTTGCGAGCTTTAAAAGCTCTTGCTCCTGTTTGTAAATCCAGTAGACATGTAAAAATACAACCATACAATAACATTAGATTCAAAAAGGTACCAAAAAGTACAGTAAAAATAACACTTCCATTACTGGAAATGTAAATGGACACAAAACAATATAAAATAAAAAGTGGAAAAGTGACATTTGCTTCCCCAATTCCTCACTTGATCTGTACAAATGGAGCATGAGTCCAAATTTCTGCCAACTCCAAAGGAAAAGCCAGAGCCCATGTTCGCTGTGGTCAGACCATGGATCTCTTTTCTTATTTACGTTAGACCTTAAGAGAAAAAAACGTTGCTTAACGTTACTGAGAATAAACCAAATGTGACAAGCAGTTACACAAAGACAGACAAGTGTGTGAATGAGTTCAACGAGTCAGTGAGTGGACAAAGACTTTCGGGGGTAAACAGAACCGGAAGCAATTACTCAAAGGTGAAACTTCCTATCCTCAACCACCACCAGCTCAACCCTTATCGATCAAGTAGTGTTTTTAGGGATGCATCTTAAGATGACAGGTGGAATGGATCCAGATCCCATCAAAGTACACTAACCCCCACCATAATGTTGGAATGGAATTTGAATAGATGGAGGTCTTTGGGTGCGGGGAATCAATAAGGCACCGATGGTAAGAAGAGCTATATTCTCATACTACCATGGATGATGCAAAAATGCATACCTGCACTACGTGTGATCAGTATGGCTTGTAGCTACTCGGGTGGCCACGTCTTGGAGTTTTCCCATAGCTTGTATTGCCCTGGTCTGGAGGACAAGAGAAAAAGGGACTGAGTTCTGTACAACAAGGAGGACGAAGAAAATAAGCTTCTCCCATTTGCGTTTTCCCTCGGGGGGTTGCTTATCGCTTACTGTAATCGTAGCCACCCCCATAGCCGTAATAACCAGCAGAGTAGTCATAGCCGCCATATCCGCCATAGCCTCCATAGTTTTGCTGCCCGTAGCCTCCATAGTTCTGGTTGTAACCACCTTGGTTCCAGTAGTTGCTGTAACCACCTTGATTCCAGTTCTGGCCCTGGCCTAGAAGAGTAATATGTTCCAAAATGGTTTCAACTCTTCGACACACAAGCAGAGCCCTGGAAAAGATTCATTGCTATATGGAAATTTACCTCCACGGCCCCTGCCACGCGCACCGCCATATCCACGAGCACCATACTGCTGCTGCTGATAAACCTCTTTGGGTTGGGCGATTTTAATTTCACACTGCAACACAACACACGAGGGTTAATAAATCGGAGGCAGAACTCTTGCACCTGAAAGAAAATGACAATAGCTCACCTTGCTCCCACCAACAGTGTGGTACTTTTTCTCCATTACTTTTTTGACATGAGCCTCATCTTGATAGGTGATGAAGACAAAACCCCTCCTCTTCTCACTCTTTGGATCTTGGGGAAGCTCAATTGTCTCAATCTATACAAAGGCAAAAATAATAAGTGACAAAATTCTACAGCTAACTATTCATGTGGGAGCACCAATTTAGCCTCATACCTCTCCATATGCTTTAAAGTAGTCCTCAATGACCTCCTTCGCAGTGTCCGGGTTGAGCCCCCCAACAAATATTTTCTTGACTGGGTCTTTTTTCATGGCCATAGCCTTCTTGGGATCAATCTGTCGCCCGTCTAGCCTGTGTTCCTTCTGTTCGAGAACCTTTAAATTTAAAAAAAAAAAAAAAAAAAAAGCATTTTAGATGCATCAAGTGTGCAAAACAATTCAGCTTCACCATGACCACCTCCACTCACCTTGTCTACGCTGGCTGAATCTTTGAAAAGAATGAAACCAAATCCTCGTGACCGGCCCGTCTGTTGGTCAATTTTGATGGTACAGTCTGACACTTCACCAAACTTGGAGAAGTAATCTTTGAGATCTTTTTTGGTTGTGTCCCAACTCAGGCCACCAACAAACATTTTCCTGAATGCAAGAGATAAATGGGGTCATTTGATGCAGTCGGGTCTCTTGGGCTACCTCCACCGTATTTGTTGGCTTGGTTAGGGATGTAAACATAGACACTGTTCTAGAATATAAATGTAAAGAGTGTAATGGGTATTTGATTTAAATTGTTTTTTTAATGAGATAATCGCGTTGAAGCCCGTAGGCGACTGCAAATACACTTCATTACGGATTAGGCTCGCGAAAACTAACGCCCATCCCCCACACGCACGGCACATGGCGTCAACAAAGGCCGACTGAACAAAGAAACACTGCAACGCACCATGTGCCGCTAAACTGTGGCGTGAAATAAATCCATTTAAAATAAAATGTTAATACACACCCTGCATCTTCTTCGCCTTTACTTGCGTCTATTTGACCACCTTCCGTTCCGCCGTTCTGGGAATTGTCGTCGACATCGGGCTCATCTCCTGCCCCGCAGGCGTTCTCTCCGGCCTGGCCAGCTCCATTAAAGTCATCGACTTCGTGGCCGTTTTCGGATGTCTCCATGTATTGCTGCTCAATTTCAGCCATGTTGTGAAAATACACCTTGACGCACAAGGTAAATAAAATCGTTAAGTTACGTCGACTGGGCCACACAATTTGGCAGATGGCACACAAGTAGCGATTAGCTAATGCAAACGCATTTCCCACCATTTTGACCGGGACGGTTATCCTTCAATTTAACGGTCAATTCAACTGCCACGCATCATAATTACTACCCCCGTCGAAAACATTACGACATCTGTTTTACCAATATGAAACATAAATGAATGTTCAATTCATATATTATCAGTTACGTAACGATTCGGGCCGCACAAGCCGCATCGCGGGCCAAGCAACAAGAGTATTTTAGCTCAACCACATAAACAGTTAAACGAATGCTTTCGAAAAAATGCAAGTACTTACTTGTCAGTTCGGTGGAAAATGACAAAAATTTAAAGCAAACCACACTGATTCGCTTGCTAATCACAAAGTCTAAGGGCTCTTATAAGATGGATTCTCCCACACGACGACGACGACTCGTGGTTGGTTTTTCAAGAGCCAGTATGGGAAAAAAACGTCATTTCGATAGAGACGTAATCCCATTGGTCAATAATTGCTGCCATTCACAAGACTGACCAATCATATACTCGGTATCTTCTTTTTTTTTTAAGGAATATCCGCCAAATGAAATGAACTTTCTATTTTTTTTCATTCTATGGATACGAGATTCTCTCTGTGATGACAATTTAACTCATAACTTGGCAATGATTGCATATAGTTAATCTGTCACCATGTAGTGGGCCGAGTTTTAAAAGAAGTAGCATGCTTTAGTAGTCGTTTGTCTTATAAAATATCGGGTAGTATTTTCCTAACCATGTCGGTCGTATAATCTTCATTTCATTCATCCGGTGAATATTTACTTAATTTTTTTTTTAATTTATTACTGTATTTACCATGTCTCAAACTCAAATGGTGATAAAACACGACTGTATTGGCCATCTGCCCGCCCACGAATGAGACGGCAATTGCAAGATGGCTGCTGCTCCAAGCAACAGGAAGTGAGAGCCGGGGCGACTTCGTGTTTTCTTTGCTTCTGTGGCAACAACTCTTCGGCGACATTTTGAGTATCGTCCACTCAGCCATATTAGGAGCGCACTCAAGGACGTGCTACTTTTCGAGCTGAACCTGGATAACACATGCTAATTTCTAACAAAGGCTAACATCGCCAGAGTAAACCGCCCTACACCATCAACGTTTTTTGACACCAAAATTATTATTTTTGAACAGCATATAAGCAGCATTACCTTGGGAAGTGCTCAAGGTCGGAGAACGTTCGTCGCAAGTGAAGCGTCGACGCTTGTTTCTGCGCGGTGAAGGCTGTATTGAGTACAAGCACTGACAGTGTCTTTACGCAACAACACTTTCTTGTCTGTGACGTAAAGGAACGTTTTTTCAAAGACTCAAAAAAAAAACCCAAACATACATATACAGTATACACACACACACACACACACACACACACACACACATTCACTTTGAGGGCATCGGATGGAAAAAGGTGGCTAAACCAGACAAATATCACATTCACAACAAAGTACATTAATTCAATTTTCAACTCTTCAGAAAATTTACAAGCGGTTGAATCTCCACATTTGTACCTTTCGTGAGAATGCTGAAAAACGATTACATATTAGGCAACTATTTTTCTTTCTCTTTTTAAAAATATTATCAATTATGGTCAAGTATAACTATTTTTACACATCTACTAATGTGATATTATTTTGCCTTGAAAGCCATGTTGCTTTGAAAATAAGAACAGATGTACGAATTGTATAAATTTTTGAGAGGATAAAATTGACCAAATTTGGACAGAGGTGTTTGCTTAACAGCAACACATTTTGATGCATTAAATACAACTGAAAGATACTTCCAAAAATATTTATTTGAGTTTAAGTCATTGTAATTTGGGCCGTTTGATCATTTGATTCTTTCATGTACTACAGTTACTTGTACCATACTTTCAGAACTACTGCCCAATACAAACCCCATTTCTTAGTGGAATTTATTTCTCTCCAAACATTCCTTCCCCCTGTAACATTTGATACTTTGTTACTTTTCCGCTATCCCTTTGTTATACCTGTTATAAGACTCATATTTGTTGTGTCAATGAGTTGTTTAAATAATGCGTGTGTGTGTGTGTGTGTGTGTGTGGGGGGGGGGGGTTAGACAAGAACATGGATGTTTGTTTGGATATTCATGGAAACTTTATTTATCACTAGTTTGTTTTTCTGTTAGTCCTCTGACACTGGCCTTTTAATTATTCCTCAGATGAGGACCAAAACACATGCTGAGGCTGTATTCAGCCATTCTGGTCCCCAGCTGTGGAATAGCCTACCAGAGGACATCAGGTCTACAGAGACTTGATGTTTTTAAGAGGAGGCTTAAGGCACATCTTTTTAGCTTGACTTTTGAATAACTTATATATGTACTTCTTTTGATTCAACCGTTTCTATTTATTGATTTATTTACTTTTGGAGGTGAGGGGGCGCCAGTGGTTCCTATTGGGGGGCTTCAATGCTGGGAAGTGTGGTAGGTGTCACTCAGCGTGGATTAGATTCTCTTGGGTGTTTTTTTTTTTTTGCCCTCATATGGTTTCTCTGTGCCTTGCTATGTCTTGTTTATATGGTTTCTCTGTTCCTTGCTATGTCTTCTTTAATATCAGGGTCTTCAGAGAATGTGTGCATGTTTTGTATGTTTGTTAGTGTGTGTGCATGTGCGTGCGCGCACGAGCATAGGCATGATTGTGTGGAAATATACTGTATATGTGTATGTTGAGGTGGCTTTTTATGTTGTAATTTTGAAGTTTTAATGGCACAGCACTGAGTTGCATTTTTATGTATGACAAGTGCTATATAAATAAAGTTTGATTGATTGATTGGTAGTGTGAAGAGAACTTTAACAGTGTCTAGTTCAATGATTAAGTTAATGTCACATTTTCATTCAAATCCTTCACTTGCATTGTGAGTAATGTTGCCAATGTAATTAAATATTCATATTTTACTGCCATCATCAGTTCCTGTTGCCGTCATCATTCTTCTCCCTGTTGTCATTCTGCTTCTTCTGCAACAGCTCCATCACATATTTGAGGCTTGTTCGGATTGTTTTTGAGGAGCCATTCAGCAAGCCAAACCTTATGAAAATGTAGTAGGAGGTACACATAAGCAATTCCATTCAGTAGTGACAAATACATGTGACACTTTACTTACACAGGGGTTGAGTGGTTTGTGCTTGCAGAGCTCAGTGAGTCCTTGCAGCAAAGTTTGGTTCACATACCGACTCAGGTATTCTTCTGTTTCCTCTCTTGTGGGAACAGTTAAAGCTACAAAAAAAAAAAAAAGGTACTTCAGAGTCACTTTTGCGTTTAATGCATACAACCACGTGTGTGTGTGTGTGTGTGTGTGTGTGTGTGTGTGTGTTTCTTACTGTTAGGGAACATGAATTTGATCTCTCGCTCCGCCACATGAAATGACTCGCTGCCATGGAGAGCATTCTCCAACTCAGACGTGGCATATTTTGCTCGAAGGCTTTTGAGGAAAAATATGAAAACCTTTCAAAATACTGTCGATAACTGGGATAATTCTCGTGAAAAACTAAAACAAAAAACTGTTACATTTTTTTAATGTTTGCTGGGTAGATCAGGGACCGAGTGGTTAGCACCTTGGCCTGACAGTAGAAAGGTCAGGCCCTCCTGTGTCAAGTTTCATGTTCACACCACGCTTGTGTGGTTTATCTTTATCCCCTACCCACATTTCAAAAACATGCATGTGTACGATTAATTTAAAATTGGACATAGGCATGAATAGTGGTGGTCTTTGTGCCCTGGCAACTAATCCAGGTTGTACTTCGCCTTTCGTCCATGCCATCGGAAATATACTGTAGAATCATACTAATAGTTGCATTAATGTGCACATCCTTAAATGTGAAGCCATTCTTTTGTTTATTTGGATGGTGGCTTGAGGTAGTTGACGTTCCTCTTACAAATTGACTGCTATTTGGACGCGTTCATAAATTATTCCTTGACTATGGCCTCAGTTCCAACTGAAGTGCAATTGCTGTCAACATGCTTCTTGGTGGATATGCTGTACTTTTGACGCAGAGCAGCGCTGCTTTCTAGCCAAATTATTTGGAATTGTGGATAAAACATGGAGTGGGGAAAAAAAACATAGGTAAATTATATTCAATACAATATTGCCATGACAAAAAAGTGACATCCAATTGAAAAATGTATTTCATTAAAAGAACAATCAATTATTATTTTCCGCTTAATCAATCAGGGATATTAAATGTTCTGAAATACTGTAGTTTGATTCCTTATCGCAGAGAGAAAACTGGTATTGAGTGTTTTAACGCGGTGTAAGACTTTCCGGGTGGCTGACATACTTTCGACCGGATAATGACAATTGGAAGTTTGTTTTACCAAAAGCCTTCTTTGCATTTAAGTCCCAGGGATTTACAAAAAAAAAAAAAAAAAAACACTTTCAAATGGAACAAACCATTCTGGATGAGTGTCAGATGCCTTGATTGGTCCAATTATGTTTTTCCAGTGAGCTATTGCGTTGTCTCGAGCCAGAGTCAAGGCAATGATTGGACCAGAGCTCATGTACGCTGTCAATTTGGGAAAGGTTAGTTTTCCATGATGTTCCGTGTAGAAGTCACTGCACTGTTCTGGACTTAACTGAAGTTTCCTCCTCTGCATGGGATGAATGATTAGGGACACTTCTGTGAAATATTTGTAGAAGTTTAACACAACAACTTTTGATTGATCATTTTCATCATCACTTGAAATTCATCCTTATGGAAAGGAACCTTACTGTTTTTTTTTTTGGGTGGTGTTTTACTGTTTTTATTGTATGAATTTAATGTTTTAACTGTATTTGTTGTTGTATGACAACATTTTCCACGTACAGCACTTTGTACGCAATAGTGGTTGTTTTAAAGTGCTCTATAAATAAAGTTGATTTGAGCTTAAAATGTGACTTTGCATGGGGATGTGTTGTGAAAGCATTACATCAAAAAATATATAATGCCCGAAGAGGGCTGGGTAAGTCTCCAGCTCGCACACGAGCTGCGTGAGGATAAGAGCACAACTAATGCATGGATGGATGGATTGTATCGTACTGTGCAAATGCCATATAATAAGCAGTCAAAAACATGAATCATTAGCGTGTTCTTGCACAAGACACACCCCTCTGGTGATAGAAAGAAACACATTCGTGTGACAATACTTTTTGACTGGACTGAGACCAACCTGTAAAATAGTGAAGCCCGACGTCAGAATGATGTCTTCAATCTCTTCACTTTTGTGAATCGCATCTGGTTTAATGATTGCCAAAGTTCTTTCCACATAAATACGAGGAAATGGACTTTCTTCCTCCGTGCACGTTTCGTCCGCCATTCAATGCTTGTTTTTTTTTTTCTTGTCTTCAACGATGTTTTTGCATTCTGACAGGAGCGTGAACGTCTTGACACTTCATTGGGGAGAACTGTACTTTATATGACGTCACGCGGTCGTATCGTTTACTGACGTCACACAACCCTCGTCCCTTGGTGAACATGACGTGGGTACTTTTTGCTGCGATGGATCACAACACACACAGCGCCTTGGTTCAGGATAATTGGCAAATATTGCCAACAAAACGAAATAATGTCGGTGAGATTAATTTTAGTTCATGATGGAGTTGTTCAGAAGAACAGATAAGTATTTCAATGACTGCATACAGATTCTGTGCGGATCAACTCAATTTTCACCAAATTTGGATTTCTTTGTCATAGGCCTAAGTTTCAAAATGCATTTCTGAGTGCTCTCGTCCTAGACTGAAAACAGAGCAGTGATGGGTTGTTGATTCACCCGCTGTTTGGTGGAGATTATTTTAGAAATGGGTGCAGTGGGTGTGCATGTGTACACTTAATGTAATGATGGATGAGAGAATGGATAAGTATCATAACGTATGACTGATGTATTTTGTTGCCCCATTGTGTCCGAGCATCGAATGTCTGTGCTTAGTTAAGAATTTATTTGAACCCATCCACTTTTCATTTAAAGTGCAGGAACAAATGACTGATATGTTTTGTTGCCCTCTCCTCACATCGAATGTCTACGCTCAGTTTGAAATTTGGATTTTGCCAGTGCCAACTACATTCCTACCTGTTTGAAATTTAACAACATGGAAACAAGCTATTTGGAATCTGGTGGAGGATGGAAAATGAATTACAGAATAGATATTACAAAAACAGAGGCTATATTCAATCAACCATTTTGAATGCCCTGAAGAAGAAGGAAACACTTAGTATACGAAAGACATCAATCAGAATCATTATCAGAATCATCTGTATTGGCCACGTATGGAGAGCACACAAGGAATTTGGCTCCGTTAGTATAGGCTACACTAGTATTGCAATAACAAGCAACTACGATAAAGCAAAGACATGACATAAGTATCGAAAGACTTTCTGTCATGTAAGGCTACCATTGTGCACTAATACATGTACCACCCAATGACAGCTGTGCGACCTGTGCAAGTAGTTTCAGGAAAACTACAGTCATTACTACATTCATACCAATTTGAAATTTCACAACATCAATGCCGAAAAGCTGTCTTTTGGTTTAAAATAAGCTACTGTACGGGTATTTGGAACCTGGGAGAGGATGGAAAATGAATTTTAGCCATTACCCAAACAACAGTGGCTATCATCAAGCAACCATTTTGAATACCCTGAAGAAGAAAGAAACACTTGATGACAAAAGACATCAAAAAGGCAGTTTAAGGAAAAAACAGTCATTGACATCAAAGACAATTTGAGAGCTGTAAAGAAAACACCTTAAAATTATTTGTAACATTAGCAACAACTTCCAGAGGGTATGAGTGAAGTTCATAAACATAAAAGTACAGCTGCTACAATAGAAAAACACGTTAGAAATAAGAACAGAATGGCCAGGATAGAATTGATCAAAACGTGCAAAGGCTCAACAAAGATTAACCTCAGCTCATAACAGTAGTTGTGAAGAGAATTACACACACGGCCAGAAAAGGCCACAAAAGAGAGTGACTTCTTCAATTTTATTTCCAGATTACCAAAAGTTAATGTTTCATAGGGACGAATATGAGCAATATGAGTTTGCCCAAAGCAATTTATGAGCAATATGAGTTTGCCCAAAGCAATTTATTCCAGATTTTTCTTTACAGTAAACATATGACTATAATTTAAAATGAGTCACTTGTGAATCACAGTCCAAAGCTGCATTGTCAAAAGTGATTCAATAATAGTCCCATGTAAATTTAGTCCTACTGTTTTGTAAACAAAGCTAATAACTCAGTGACAATCACAACACTGATTTTTAACAGGGCAACTTTATGCAATGACAAAAGCAATGCATTTCTAGATCATCTTATTACAATGGGTTATGTTCACCAGCATTTCAAAAGGTGTCAGAATCAGCAGAGAAAGGCCTGAAAAACAGATTCATTTTAAGAAGCACGGTTTGAGAGCCCACATGTTTTTGTGAGGAGTGTGTGGCTGCCAAAGCTGCAATACCTTAATTTCTATTGCAGTATGCACACTAATGTACACTGTATAACAACAGTGATACACATATTTGGAGTTACTTTGTATAACAACTCAAATGTCCCAAACGTCGCGCAGTTGGAAAAATGTAAATCTATTTCGTATTAAAGGAGCAATCCATTTATCAGTGCATACAACGCAACCATGAATTTCAAGATATTTTCCTATACTAACCTGCCTACAAATAGACATTAATTTTCCTATACTACCTGCCTACAAATAGACATTAAACATTTCGTTACAGCAATACTTAAAAATACCACTGGGTGGCATTGTCACTCTGCAAACTATCTCCAAAAAGTAGTTTTACTTGATTTCAATTTTATTTCAGTGTTTGATTTTCTTTATGACAGTCCAAAATGTTACTCAAAACCTTGTCTGTACAGTTAGTAGAGGTTTTATGTGGTAAATAGTTTGAAATGTAACACATGAACAACAAAGTGTATGCAGGAAAAGTGATTAAGATTGCACGACTGTGTCTTATGTGTTGTGTTGTGTTATTTTTGTTATTTTGACTTCAAGATGGCGCCGCGAGAGTGGTTGCCTTTCCAGCAGCTCCTATATTTTGTTCTTCTACTTCATTTCATAACTTTGCTGCTGTTAATTGGGAATTTCTCCATTGCGAGACTAATAAAGGTTTTCTTATCTTATCTTGATTCACTTTACAGGACATGAATTCCCACTGAAGTTTCCGCTATATTACCCATTCTCCAGCAGTCATTTTACTTCTTTTACAAAAGCTCCATCACATATTTGAGGCCCATTTGGATTGTTTTTGATGAGCCAGTCAGCCAGCCAAACCTATTGAGGGACGCAAAGGTTTTAGGAAACCGAGCTCAAAGAGTTTATTGGTGATTAATGAATTGGTTTGTCATTAACATTAAAATAAAATTAACTACAGTACTTACACAGGGGTTGAGTGGCTTGTGCTTGCATAGCTCAGTGAGTCCGTGTAGCAATGTTTCATTCACATATCGGCTCAGGTATTCTTCAGTTTCTGCTCTTGTGGGAAAGGCCTCAATAAAAGCTGCATATTTTGAACACAATTATAAAAACGAAGAACTGTGTGTGTATGCGTGTGTGCGTGCGTCCATCTTACTGTTGGGGAACATGAATTTGATCTCTCGGGCAGCAGCATGAAATGACTCACTGCCATGGAGAGCGTTCTGCAGTTCAGACGTGCCATATTTTGCTCGAAGCCTACAGGAAAAATCAAAATACACGTTCATAGGAAAATCAACACGCACTACAGATGTAGGCCTATTAGAGACGAGGACTGAATATGTACTGAAAAAAAGAGAAAAGTAATTTCATCTAGCTGAACTGAAACTTTTTAAATGGATACAAAAGTCCCAGTTCTCTCACTGAACACTTGTTTTCGCCGAGATGTGAACCCGTTAGTGTACGTAGAAAAGGTCTTAGCGCTTTCAGTTTAGCTCATGAAAAATGGGAGCAAAAACAAGTGCTGCATATATTGGCTGGTTAAAAAACAAAAACAAACTAGTATTGAAATTCTGCCTGTGCAGGTCAGTAGCTCACCATTTTGTTTGACTTTTTGTGACCTTAGTGGGTCCAATGATTGATTTCCACTGGGCTATTGCATTTTCTCGGGCCAGAGTCAAGGCAACAATCGGACCAGAGCTCATGTAGGCAGTCAAACTGGGAAAATGTAGCTTTCCATAATGTTCTGCATAGAAGTCACTGCAGTGTTCTGGAGTCATCTGCAGTTTCCTCTTCTGCCAGAGATGAATTGTTTGTTACACACATACTAACGTCCAATGGAACATGACAATAAATAATTGGCCTAGCATTTAAATTCAACCTACCTGCAAAATAGAAAAGCCCTTTCTCAGAATGATGTCCTCAATCTCTTCACTTTTATGAATTGCATCCGGCTTAATGAGTGCTAAAGTTCTTTCGACGTGAATACGAGGAAAGTAGGCAGAGTCCATGCTTCTCGAAATGACGAATAAGCTGCGCTTGTCCAGCCTTCGGTTTGAGGCTCGTTCATTACGTTGCTTGGATACGGTAAACATTGTGCAAGCCCTCAGAACAAGCGGCCTGAAATTCATTCTCAGCAATCCCACGGTCCACGTTTGATTTTAATTTTTCTTGTACTTCTAAATTTGTTAAATTACTACTCTTCTCCTCCAAGTATAAACTGTTGAGTGTTCCGGCGATGAACGAGCTTTCCAATGCAACACCACTGCCATCTAGAGAACTGCAGCAAACACCAAAAAGAATCTTGCGATCACCCATCTCACTCGAGACAACGTTGAAGTTTATACTACATCACAAAACTAGGAAAAAAAAATTCAGCGAGACAATGTTGAACTCTTCAGTACATCACAAAACCAGAAATAAAGTTTATCCAACAAAATTTTGAATGACGACATACATAAACATACTATATGGATGTACAGAGGTGTCACTTTGGTTGATATGTACAATATGCTATCAAATATAAGATGCACTGATGTATATTCATTTCAGTTAACACATTTTAGAGCATGAATCCCATACACACAAATTCGTCAAACAGTCTTTTATTGAAAGTTGTTTTGATGAAAAGTTCTTATCGGGTTCCAATAGTAACTTGCCAGACTCTGATCTGGTTGTCGGTGTAGCCAGCAAACAGGGTCTGTGTACACACATGCACAAATAAAAGGGAGGAAAGACATGTTAATATGAATCTGAAATGGCACTATGTTGACAAAAAAAGAAAAAAATCAGTTGCCCCCTCATATTTGCAGGACTGTCACCAGTGTACATCAGAATTTGAAGTGAATGGGAATAATCACAGGGGGACTATCACTTTTTACACATCTGTACATGTACCTGTCCATCAGCAGACCAGGCCAGAGAGGTGCACTGCGGGGGTTCGGCCTTGCTGTTTGTGCTGATCACCTCCTGTCTCAGCTCATCCACAATAATCTTGCCCTCCAGATCCTGCAGAAATGGGGAAAAACTGAGTAAACACAGAGGGACTTTGGCGAGGAGAAACTTTTTTTTTTTTTAAACAACTCAGAAACAGCCTCTTTATCATCAAATAATACAGTTGGCAATGGAGTCTCATCACTGTCACACTCAGCAACTTTAAATATAACCAATATGGCTTCCAGAGTATTAGAGTCCTTTACCCAGATTTTGATACTGGGGCCGGTGGCGGCGCACAGCCAGTACCGGTTGGGGCTGAAGCAGAGGGCATTGATGGTGGCACCGCTGTCAAGGGTGTAGAGGTGCTTGCCCTCGTTCAAGTCCCACAGCATGGCCTGACCATCCTGAAGAGAACAACACAAACATGCTGCAGTAACGCCGTCAATGTATTCGGACACAATGATGACTTTCAGGGGCGCTTAAGACTCAGAAACAGCCTCTTTATCATCAATGATTAAACAGATGAGTTAAGAGTTCATCACTGCAAAACCCTGCAAGACTGACCCAAAAACTCCCAAGTTGAGTTTACCTTTCCACCAGATGCACACAGGGAGCCATCAGGAGAGACGGTCACAGTATTCAGGTAACCGGTGTGGCCGATGTGGTTTGTCTTGAGCTTGCAGTTGGCAAGGTTCCACACCTTTGGGTGGGGACGGGGAGACGTTACTAATACGAAGGTCACACAAAATTCATTTGAAGCTGCACAGCGTTGTGCCCTCATACTGAAAAGTGTTTCATCAATGTATGACACTAAGATAATACATGCAATTTAAAAAAATAATCACCGGGCAAAGGGAAACTGACAAATCCGCACTTTAGATCAGTATGTAAGGAACAGCATACCTTGACCATCTTGTCCCAGCCACAAGACACAATAATGGGGTTGCTGCTGTTGGGGGAGAAGCGCACACAAGACGCCCACTCGGAATGGCCTTCATCCTGAAAGGGGAACAGAATCCACATCGTCTCTTTGCTGGAAAAACCTTGGTTACATGTATGGCCTTATTCAAATCAAAGAGTGCATGTTGATTTTCGACCAGGTCAGTAGGGCAGAATATTTTTGGAATCCAGTATTCTACCAATTACCTCGACGGATAATCTAATACGAAATTATTTTGCATGATCAAAAATTATCTACACACTTGCAAACACATGTGACGGACAGGTCTGATTTTGGGTCCATTTGGGGCTGCTATTCTCACATTCTACATTGTACTATGACTTGTAACGTATGTGGCTTTACAAGGTGGGACCCCGGCCTTGTGAGTGACATAGGCTTCAACAAGTGCAAGTGAGTTAGCTGTTCGCATCTGGCTGACCGCCAGTCTGCGTGTTGAGTAAACGGGTGTCAGAAGCTAGAATATATCAATTACATGATTTCATTACTTTTCATTCAATAAAGCAATTCAAAGTGCACCGACCGCTCTTTAATTCAACTGCAAAGATCAAATTCTGGCCATCCACCTGGATCGTGTACTTGCAGACTCCAAGTGTGTTCCACAGCTTGATGGTCTTGTCCCGAGAGCCTGACACAATTTGGCGGTTATCGGCAGAGAAGGCCACACTCAGGACATCTTTAGTGTGGCCAACAAACTGGCGGGTGGTGTTGCCACTGTGGAGACATTGCACCAGTGTTGACATTAGGCATGTAACAATGCAGTCGTTGTAATTACTACAGCCATTAAATGAAAAACCTCAAATAAATTAACACACCAATAGCGGTAGAAGTCAGAAAACTACCAAAATCTTAGACAAACTACAGCATAATCAATGTGCTTCCCTTTTAAACAATACTTCCTCCAAAAGCATCAATCTCAAGGTGTATTAAAAACACCCACAAGACTGTTAGGCCTTGGGGACTTTCATTCAAAAGCATTATGCAGTGTCTTACCGATTCCGGGTTTTATCAGAGGTAAACTTCTTACTAAATTTGTAACAATTCATGTAATGAGAAATGTCAGGCACATCTTCAAAGCCCATACTCAACTCAACTGTATTTATAGAGCACTTTCAAACAGCCATGGCTGCATACAAAGTGCTGTACATGGAGCAATTACAAATACAAAGTGTTATGCTTTATTTATGCTGTTAGGGAACTTAAGTTCGAGTTTCTCAAAGTTGGACAGCAAAGCCCATAGAAAAGTGTTGCGGGTACACTGAGCAGTCGGTATAAATTAATCCTGGAAATGACAACAGACATGAATGGGCTGAAGGTTGAAAGTACATCCGTTAAGGTATCGTGGAGCAGAGGCTATCACCTTTTCCGTATGGCCTGTACTTACGTGCTGAGGTCCCACAGACGGAGGGTGCTATCCCAGGCTCCAGACAGAGCAAACTGTCCGTCGGAGGAGATAACAACATCGCTAACAAAGTGAGAGTGGCCCTTCAAGGAGCGCTGAGGGATGCCGTAGTTTGTTTCATCACGGGTCAGCTTCCACATGATGATTGACTTGTCTGTGAGGAAGAAATACAGTAAGTCTTCAGGTCACGTCGACTTTTCACTCGCCACATTAGCCTGAAATGCTAACGTCAGAAAAAAACCCTCTCCACTCAGTTTGCGTTACACAACAACCTTTTGATTTTTAACGTTGCGTGTGCTTCTTGTGGTTGCTTTAGATTTCAACAGGAGCATTTCAGTAGCATTGTGGTTCATTTGACGATGCGACGGCCAAGTCGTTAGCCGTCTAAGGCTAGCGTAGCCATGTTGGCGAAACCGGCGGGGGAACCTCACCTCGGGACGCCGACAGAATCATGTCGGGATATTGAGGCGTAGTGGCGATCTGGGTGACCCATCCACTGTGCCCCTTAAGGGTCCCCCTAACTGTCATCTGCTCTGTCATTTTGACGTCGATCAGCGAAGCCTTCTACGAGGATGGATTCGGATTTTCAGAAGTCCAAATTTACCCTAGCTCCTCATTGCATCTGGGCACAGAGGAAAAGGAAGTCAAGACCCGGATGCAAAAACTATGAAGGGCGAGAAACCGTCAAAGGATTCTGGGAAATTTTGACGTCATACGTTTGGAGAAAAGACAGCAAGCGGCAGTAAACAGGGATTGTTGCTCACGCAGATACAAACATTTTATACTAAATTGGAGTGCGATTAATCGATGTAAATTTGGAGCATATTTCATTGAGGTTTTTTTTTCCTGTAAATTTATACAGTGGATCAATAAATCTGTGCTGTGGGAATTAAATAATTGAAATGGGGAAATATACATCTTTATATTTTATGAATCCTACACTGTTACGTACATTAAACTTAGAAGTAATTCATTCAAACTTTTATTGAGCCATATGGCACGTTTTACAGAAAAAAAATTTCACGGCACACGACGAAAAGTAAAACGTGGAAATCATGCTGTAAACTGAAAGAATGATGATTTCTTCTCATTTTATTCACAAATTCACTGCAAATTGAGCCTGTTGAAGTGAATACGTTGCTGTTCTATTGTGTGAAAGGCACAAGGTGGATACAGTACACAGATTTATTGTACCTTCTGCCATCTAGTGGAAGCGCATTTAATTGGTCAGCCTGTCACTATGCGTCACTGGCATTGGACAAAGATTGTTTTATCATAAAACTCTTTAGACCAGGGGTGTCAAACATACCGCCCGCGGGCCGGATCCGGCCCGCAAAGGAGTTTAATCCGGCCCGCTAGATGATTATGTAAAGCATGGTGTCAAACATACGGCCCGCGGGCCGGAACCGGCCTGCAAGGAGGTTCAATTAGGCCCACAGGATAATTTAAAAGTGAAAAAAATGCATTAAAGACAGAATTAATATTTTTAATAAGGTGCAATTCATTGAGTATCCGCAAGGGGACACTGTTTTGATCAGAGAAGAAGACAACAGCAGCCTCAGTCCGTCACTGTGACAGACCCATGACAGCAGACGCTATCAATAGCACTCTCACATTTACACATTTAATAGCACTCTCCTTAGTTTGTAAGATTACATTTAGATTTTATATGCACGTGTAAATGGTTTAAAACTTCCTTTCTTTATGAATCTCGTTTAATCTTAAAGTGCATTACTATATTTTTCAATACCAATTACTTGTTAATGTTTGTACAATCAGTGGGATCATTTGCAATGCATATATGTGAATGATAAAAGTAAATTGCACATTTGTCGAAGGAAATGTAAGGTGCTTCATGAAATATTTTGTAAAAGATATGTTCATTAAATTTCAACATTTTCCTAATGTTCTTGTGCTTCTTTATACCAAAACAAAGGAAAGACATTGTTTTGGTTATTTATAGCAAAGTATGGTATCATTTTAATGGTCCGGCCCACTTGACATCTACCAAGGCCGTATGTGGCCCACCATGTGAAATGAGTTTGACACCCCTGCTTTAGACCAAGGTTCGAAATTCGATAATTTTCTGCGACACACACGATGAACTCTCATGACACATTGGGCGGCAGCACAGCGGTTGGGAATCATTGATCTAAATAGGTACTGCATTTATTATTGATGTTTCATGGCCACTGGACCAAACTGGAAAAAAAAACATGAACTAGTTGTAAGTAACAAATGTATTGCAAAGGAGATACATGAATAAATTTAAAAGTTATTTTGGATGGCATTTGTTATATCTAATTCTGAAGTCTTTAAAGTGATCTTCAAAGTGTTATACCATACACCAGCTCACTCCACAACAAAATCATTGCTGAGGTACAGTTTTGTGGTCTTTAACTTTTGTGTCCCATGTAGATGGACATTCTGTTTATTTTTAAACATTGATTTTGGCAATGGCCTTGATTTTGGTGCTTAGAGATCCAAATATTTTTTGTTGTAGATGCAACTTGGTAAAGAAAAAAAAAATAACCAATGAACTAGGATGACATACAAAGTTGCTCCCATATGAATGCATTTAAATGCAACTCTTTTTTTTTTTAATTTACATTGCTGTACAGAAAATTCTGCAAGGAAGAAGTAAGAAATGTGTAATCGTTATGTCATTTTGATCACTTAACTGATTTTGAATTTCTTGATACCTCGTTACCCTCATAAAATATTTATTTCTTTTTGCTGCCAGGGTGAAATGTTGCAAACATTTATGGTGCCATTACTGGAAGAACCTTATAATTTGCTCCAAAATAAGTAAAAGTATATATTCATGTTTGTCAGCAACCACGTGTCTAACAAACACCCTTGGTCCGTTGTTTACTGTATACGTTCCATGTCAATGTACCATAAAAGTTGTTCAACAAAAGAAGCAGGCTACATAACAAAGTTACTCCAAATGAATCAGTTAACATTTAGAATCGTGTTGAATCTGATAAATAATGTCATAGTCATCAAAAAGACCTGTTGAGATCTCAAATACAGTAATCAAACTGTTCCGCTCACAACACATTTCTGCAGTTGACTTACAAAAGCATGGATCAAAGTAAGTCCAAATTTTGATTGATAACCAACTGACAGCACCACAAAAAAAAAAGAAAAAATATATCATTTTCAACCAGCTTTATTTGATATTAAAAACAGAGTGGTCAGAGGTGATGTAATGTCACTTTTCAGTTATGAAGTTTTCCAGACCAAACTATTGCCAACATGTTATGGAGTTAACTTGATAATCAATTATACAATATCGGAACATATGAAAACAGTTCCAATGAATTTGGAAAATTGAAATCAACATTTGCCTTCAATGTCCTTGTCATAGCACATTTGTGTGAGATTATTCAAAATAGTATCTTAAATGTCTTAACACACTCATGCAACAAACAACAGAAAACTGAAGCCAAAACCTTTAAGACCTTCTCTGCATGAACCCAAACAATATAGTAATGGTTGCAGCCGGAGGGTAAGGCTGGAGACAAAAAAAAAAAAAAAAAAATCTATTTATGTCAAGTTAATTGAAATGCATATGATGTATGGACAAGGAAAGCATAAACCCAGAATTTATTTCAGTCATGATAAATTGACCAAGTTATACATTTTGACAATAATTACAAAAATAGCTTAATTCTGTTTCAACCAAATACACAACCAAACATTCACACAAAGTGAAGCTAATACTGTGAAATTATTGGCTACAACACCAAACAAGACATTGTGCTAGTTACTTACTCCATTAAGTCGTAAAACTGATACAACTTGCAAAACAAATTCTAGTCCTATGTTAATTGCCAGACAACCACTCAGCTTCCAGTCAAATGGAAAAACTTTATGCTTCACTGTGACTTTAAACTGGTTCAACATTTGTAATTCTCTCATAATGTTTGCATTATATGTGTTGTTACGGTAAACTTTTCATGTACAGACAACCTTTCATAGAACTACATAAATCAATGTTTATGTCCAAGTAAATTGACTTGAACATACAACTCCTTTTATGATTTTTTTTGTTGCATCAGAATTGAAATTTGACACATGTATTAAGTTTGTATTATTTGCGTTGGTGACATTTCAGTCTGAATATTGCTGATGAAGAAAAATAAAACAAGAGGCAAGACAGAATAAGTAGGTCATCTATACAGCAAATTGCAGTCAAAGTTGTACAAGTGACATTCAACATCGTAGGGCCATTTCAACTTCCTATTTGCCATCTATTGCAGCATACAAGGAAATATTATGACTGAATTGCAATTCTGTATCATAACCAACTAACAGTTAAACGATTTCCGACTGTTCGGTGGCACAACAAAATGTTGGTTTACCCAATGTTCTTAAATAGCGAATGTACTTTTCTGTTTACAAAAAAATGTAGTTCTGTTGGTATCATCGCTCTTTTGTATACATCTAGCAAAATAATTGTATTTATCCCATATCTTGAAATAATCATGCCACATTTAAAGAAACTTTGCAAATATAAAATAAGTCCAGCGAACTTAACAATTTATCCCGGCCCTGTAAATGCCTTGCAAGGGCAAGAAAACAACCAATAACCGTCCTGTGACCGCTTGGACTACTTTATAAAACCTTTTTGTGACAGTTGAAACACGGCCCACACAAAGGCAGCATTTCCGGCATTCAAAGCCAGTGTTTGATTACTAAATAAAACTGAATTCCAAACAAAAAAGTTGGTAGACATTTGACCAAAATAAAATAATAATTTAGTCAGTCAGTCATCAGTTTAAATGACTAATATTAAAAAAAAAAAAAAAAAAAAAATACAAGGAACACACAGCAGCAAGAGAGAACAAACCTGTTCATCTGGGATTAAATGACCATGATCAGTCAAACTAAATTACACGTGGTAATGGCAGACTTGAGGATAACTAAAAACTCAATCAAAAAAATGATGAAGCTGATTCGCCTCACTGAATGATGCATTTATTTACTATGAATACTGTAACGGCTCCTTCAAATCAGTGAATAAACACAGCAATGCACGGGAATGCAAAATGTAACAAACAGATTTCCACTGCCACTTATGAGAAAAAAAAACAGTCAAAAAAACCTTTAAAAGAGTGCTTGAAAATCTATTATTTCTATTATATTCATCCACAACATTGGTTATGATTATGCAGTTAATTTGGGAATGTCTTCACTACACTGCCAAGTAAGTGATGACTAAAATCATAACGCGCTGTAAATCCTTCCCTGTGTGCCAGTGATGTCACACCACATCGTCAGCAAGAACTTCCAGGGGATTGTGGGAGTGGATTTGTCGTCTCCTCCGGGAGAGTTTCCGTATTGGAGGATTCAAGTGTTCAGTAGGACACGGAGGCTGTGCAGGGTGTGTTCTGCTCCATCAAGGCCAATTTGCCTCCGTGCCCTCTGCCCCTTTAAAGTGTCTTTTTCCCCAGCAGGCACTCCCGCTCGCCTTCATGGCTGAATGAGACGCTTGCGTTTAAGCTTCTGCCTGGCCATCTCCTCCTTTTAGAAAACAGAGAGGACGAGAAGAGTGACGCACACTCCTTCATCGGCCACTGCGAAGCTCTATTCAAGCATCCGTCAAGCCGAGGAAGTCAGACTTGGTTAGTAAGGCCGTTACACTGCAGCACACTGCACCCAAACTGCCCTTCGAAGAAAGAGTCCCACTTCCAATTCATTATTATATCTATTTTTTTGGTCGAAGCATGATGTTTGATAACTCAACAACATGGATCGCTTGAGTTCTTACAATACTGCAGAGTTGTCCATGTTTCAATATATTACATAAAAACGTTTATTTAAAAAAATACAAATGACAAGTTGTTGGTAATCAGCTGCAATATACACCAAAAACAATATGTACAGATTCCATGCTGCTGGTTAGTCATAGCCATCACTGCAAAAGAAGAATAGAGGGGATACACGATTAGTTGTTTGGTCATCACATTAACATTATGTACTATTTTCATTAAACTTACCGATTCAAATGTGCAAATGTTAGAACTACACGCGCACACACTGGACTGCATATAAATTATCCCCGTGTCAAGCAGTTGACTTGAGTGCTTAAATATAAATTACAATTCCAATGAAGTCAGGAGGTTCTGTAAACTTAATAAACCCAGAATGTGATAATTTGCAAACCCTTTCCAAACTAAAAAAATTGAATGCACGAGATGACATGTTCAAACTGATCAACTTTTTTGTTTTTGCAAAGAGTCACTGAATTTGAATTCAATGACTGCAATGCATTAAAAAGAAAGCTGGGACACGTGCATGTTTACCAATGTGTGACATCACTTTTCCTTTCAGCAACAATAAGCTTATTGGAAATGAGCACACATTTTTGAAACTTTGTCGATGGAATGCTTTCTCACTCTTCCCTGATGTATAGCTTGAGCTGCTCAACAGTTCGGGGTCTCCATAGTGGTATTTTGTACTTCATATGGCGCCACACATTTTCAATGGGAGGCAAGTCTGGACTGCTGGCAGGCCAGTCTCGTACTGACACTCTTTTTATGACAAAGCCATGCTGTTGTAACAATGCAGAATATGGTTTGGCATTTTCTTGCTGAAATAAGCAGGGTCATCCTTGGAAAAGACATTGTGTGAATGGCAGCATATGTTGCTCCAAACCCTGTAAGTACCTCTATGGACAGAATTTCTAGGTGCAACCGAACCATTGAGGGGTCCGGTTTGGTGGCCTCATTATTGCATCTCTGCTTTTGCAGATGATGTAGTGCTTTTGGCTTCTTCAAGCCGGTATCTCCAACTCTCACTGAAGCAGTTCGGAGGTACGTGTGAAGCAGTTGGGATAAATATCAGCACCTCCAAATCTGAAACAATGGTCCTCAGTCTGAAAAGGGTGGAGTGTCCTCTCCGGCATCTTGGGGTCTTGTTCACGAGTGAGGGTGGGAGGGAGAGGGAGATCTACAGGCGGATCGGTGCAGTGTCTGCTATGATCCGGAGTTTGTATCGGTTTGTCGTGATGAAGAAGGAGCTGAGCCAAAAGGCAAAGCTCTCAATGTACCAGTCGATCTACGTTCCTACCCTCACCTACGAGCTATGGGTTGCATGACCAAAAGAACGAGATTCTGGATACAGGCGGCCAAAATGAGTTTCCTCCGCAGGGTGTCCAGGCTTTCCCTTAGAGATAAAGTGAGAAGCTTGGACATCCAGGAGGTGCTCAGAGTCGAGCCGGTTCTCCTCCATCTCAAGAGGAGCCAGATGATGTTGCTCAGGCATCTCATTAGGATGCCTCCTGGACGCCTCCCTGGTGAGGTGTTCCGGGTATGTCCCACCGGGGACGCCCCAGGACACGCTGGAGAGACTATGGCTTCCAGGTGGCCTGGGAATGCCCTGGGATTCGCAAGGAGGAGCTGTAAGAGCTGGGGAGAGGGAAGTCTGGGCTTTGCTGCTAAAGCTGTTGCCTCCCTGCGCCGACCCCGGATAAGCGGTAGAAAATGGATGGATGGATGGATGCACCATTTTTATTTTTTACAATGTTCCAACCTCATTGAAATTAGAGCTTGTAATTGTCTTTTTTAAGTTGTAATTAAAAGCTAACATTTTAACAGAAACTGTATGCCCTGTTAGAGTTCTCACCTTGTGCCAGCAGCCTGGGATTGGCAGCCCATCATGTCCCTGCAAAATAACAAGAGATATCTTCATTAGCAAGCCATAAAATGCATAGGAATTTAATAAGTTTTTGCTGCATTATTACAGTGGACATAAAAAGTGTACAACCCTGCTCAAATGAAAGGTTGTTGTAAAGTGCGTTTGATACCCAAATAAAGTTACGTTGTTTTTATGGGATTTTCCTGACATGTTATTTGCTTTTGTTTGTTTGGGTTTTTTTTGTAGCAGAAGCCTTAAGTTGTTGTTTTTTTTTGTTTGTTTTTTGCAAACACTGACTAGTATTTGGAACTGTTCATAATTGCTCCACTTTGATTAAGGCCCCAGTTCCAGTTGAAGAAAGGCCACAAAGCATAATGCCGCCACCAACTATGCTTGACCAGGCCCGATGCTCCTTCTAAGCAGATAATGCACGGTGCATAGGACACCATCATCTGTGGGAGCTCCAATTTGCACAAAGGGACGCATTGTGATATCATTGAATGCACACGTCTTGCATGAATGCTGTGACATGTACTTGACATGTCATTCAAATATCTGTCAGAACCCCTGAAAAATTGGGTGGGGTGAGGAGGCATCATCAGGATTTTCAGTTTATGGCACCCAGAAGGGTAGCGGCGGTCCTGTGTTTGACTGCAGGTATGGTGTTCTTTTAGTGATGGCCGAAATATTCAACCTTGCTTTCAAAATTTTGCAAAGCACTCTTGATATCTCCCAAACCCATGTGGGACAATACTGGCTGTTCATTGTAAACAGCCAGTAAGTCAAGGTGGAATGAATCATGAACAGTTCCAAATACCACGCAGTTTTAGCACAAACTTTCAAGTTTCTGCAAGAAAGAAAAACATGTCAAGAAAGACAATTTATTTGGGGTTAATCAGAGCACTTCAGGTAGCGGCAGGTGTGCGCTGACTCCCATTTGAGATAAGTTGGAAATTAATTTGATAATTCTGTACACAGCCCCATGCCCAAATAAGAGGGTATAGCCATTCATGCAACTCCTTCATCGCAGCATAATGCAAAACCATCTTCTGTTTGAACAAGTATCTTATTATTTTTTTTCCAAATTTGAAGGTTTTCATTATTACTGGATGTAAAATACAGTTAAACCCTCCAAATTTTCACACTGGCCACTTTGAATTTGTATTTGGTGAATTGCTATGTTATAGGTGAAAACCACACAAGTGGCAAAAGATGACATCTTCTATACAATCTTCCTCATTTCATTCCCAGCCAGAGGGTACTCAGTCAATCAAAAAAAGCAGGGTGAGATTAATTTCTTTTCAATGAATAAGTATAACTAATCTTGACGTAGATATTCACATTTATTAGCGTCACCACAGCGCCAATGGCATCGAAGAAAGACCCATAAATGAGAAAAACACACATGAATAGCCAAAGTACAGAAGAGGCAGGAGCAGTGATACCGTACCACAGGACAGGGGGCCACAGGGGCGGAAGGAGGAAGAAGAAGAGGTGGAGGAGAAGAAAGTGCTCCTTCCACAGACAGACCTTTTTTCTCATCACAAACCTGTTAGCAAGAGTCAATTACACATTCACAACTTGGATGAAGAAACTTGCAGAGAGGAAGAAAATGGCAAACAGTCACAGAGATACACGAGAAACACAAAAAAGTAAAACCTGAGCGATACATTAAGAAGTGGTCGGTAATATGGATTGGAGGTGCCATACCACAGGACAGGGTTGGTCTAGGCCTGGAGGACCCTGCTCTCCCTTCTGACCCTTCAGTCCTCTCTTTCCTACACTTCCTCTGTCACCCTGAGCAAAGAGGAAACAGTTCAGAATCAGAATCAGAATCTCCTTTATTGTCATTGTATTACATACAACGAAATTTGGGTGCCACTCCTTAGTGCATTTAGTAAAAAAATAAAATAACGGGTTAATAAATACAAAACTCAACAACAACACACAACAGCAGCAGCAGTAGTGGTAGTAGTAGTGGTAGTGTGGAACTGAGGCTTATATTGCACACAGGACACATATTGCACTTGAAATGGCTCAGATATTGCTCATTTTTGCACATAGTGAGGTAAGTGAGTTTAAGTTTAAAATGCAGTAGTTTTGATTATTTTCTATGGTTATTTATTGCAGTTATGGCTCTCGGAAAAAAAAAAGAAAAACTTTAACACACTCAGGTTTCCTAAAAGTAACCGACATTTATTTATACTGCTATAGTACCAGTAATATAAGATTAATCACATACAAGAACATTGATAGAAAAAATTAGAAAGATTAAAATCTCTATTTTAATTGAACCTGTCAGAGGGGTACTGTCTCACATTTCCCCTGCTCACCTAGCTAAATGAGTTACAGGGGTCAAAATATTGGGAACAGATCTCACACCATGCACTGCAAATTACAGCCACAATGATAAACTACAATATATGGTCAAACTTGAAACAAGTTATTACTGACAACGTCAATGTATCCCACGGGCCATTCGGTAATTGTTTTTGGACAATATTTGGAACATTCCGAGCTCACAATATTAATAATGTTATTTTGGTTTTAAAAATTATTTTGGTGATAGAGCTTCAACATAATGGAGTTTCAACAATTACAGAAACATCAGAAAGATTCTTCTCATTATCACTGCTGTTAATTTCGGGCAGTTGTGGCATGAACCCCTCGGGCAGTTGTCTAATACACTGTGAAGAACAATATGGTATGCACCATTTAAGTTTGATCCAGCTGTCATTTGATTTTGCAATCGCATCAAATATTGATGTGTGTCATTAAAATGATCACTGGTTCTACACCATTAGAAAACATTTCTGGATGTTTTTTGCGTACCAACCTTATCTCCTCGTTCCCCTCTGTCACCTTTCTCACCCATTAGGCCTGGGAAGCCCTGCAAAAAAAAAAAAAAAAATCAAGAGAGGTCAGAGGGCAGCTCCTGTGCAGGATAATTTGAAACGAGCCAATTGAAATCCTTCCTGAGACACTCACGTCAAGTCCAGGTTCCCCTGGCCTGCCCTGTGAATAGATTCACGTGACTAATTCGTCAGTACGAAATTTTACAATGATAGAGATTCAATTTGTGGAGATGATCGGCGGCCTACTTTTTCTCCTTTTGCCCCTGGAAGGCCCACTAGACCTGGAGACCCAGGTATACCCTGCAGGCCGTCCAATCCCTGCGATTATAGCAAAAAAGCTCATGGTCATTGCTGCTTCATGTCTGCTTTCTTTACAATACGCTTGCATCGGCTGGGCGTTACTCACTTTGGGTCCTGGAAAACCGGTCTCCCCTCTCTCCCCCTTTATCCCAATTCCTGGCTCCCCCTACATTGCAATACAGGAACTTAAGCACCAAACAACATGACGCAGCAGCATCCACTGAATACCTGGGAGTTTGCCTTTCAAACTTACCTTTGGACCGGGCATTCCATGCAGCCCCTGAAAAATACTGTATGTCAATCTATGGTTGCTGAAATGTCTTCTCCTGCTTGCAATAATGATAAGAGCCCTCACCATGGATCCAGGTGACCCAGCAACTCCCGGTGGACCTGGTGGGCCAGGAGGGCCAGGCTGGGAAATCATTTGAACCTGAACAAATAAAAGTCAAAGGAGCACGAGGGAAAATCACTTAGACAATGGGTTGCAGATAATACTGGTCACCATTCATCTTTTTGCCTCATCATTCTGTGAATTTAAGTCAAGTCCACCATTGCTAGAAAATCACTTAATCAATTAGTGGCATGTGATTTGTGACAATACCTCTTTCTCATAAATGAATAGACAGTACTATTTTGACATTTGAGAAGACATCAGCATCTCTCAGTATTCACATTCAGCTTCTCAGGAAATTAATTTTATTAGTTGCGTTTCATAAGGAGAAATTACACTGTAGTTTAAAAAGACATGAGTGAAAACATCAAGATGAAAAAAAACTGCATGTGTGTGGTCCACTGACCAGGTTGTCGTCCAATCTGCAGTCTCCCTTTTCTCCTTTCTGTCCATCCATGCCCTGTGTGACAAAGCTCAAGATGAGCTCGAACCAAAACATCTCTCCGTATGAACAGTACAGTGCAAACTCCAGCAATCATGACAAACACCTTGTTTCATTACTAACTCTCTGACTGTGTTAATTAAAATGGAGCATTATTTTGTGCTTTAGAGATGAAAGTGGACTTTCCTGAAAATTCTGGAAAATACAAATACAAATCTCTCTCTCTCTCTCTCTCTCTCTCATGACCACTTGAACGTGTTCCTAACACTCGCGTCTATTGCACGTATGTCAGCTTGCCTGTCTACCTGTTTGATCATTGCGCTGGGGCCGTACATGGCCGATAACGCATGAATTAGCTGACACAAAACGCTATTCAAATAATCGACATTCAAAGATTAATCTGCCTTTTGTGTGCACACGTGCACCCTTTGTGGCTTCCGTTCTCGTCGAAATTTCGAAATCTCCGAGATATGGCGAGGCCATGGCAATGCGAAGAGTGTTCGGTGTTACTGTTACTAGTGTTCGTGCCTCAACATGGTTACGCTCATGAAAGCAGAACAACGAACTCAAACGCGTGTTCGTTCAATGTTGTCAACTAATATCCGGATTCATTTTAGGCAATTTTCCTCAATTTTCCAGAGGAAATTTCATGAAAATTTGAAAATCCGAAATTCCGGGAAAATCCGGAGGACTTTCATCTCTAGTGCTTGTAAAGATACATTTGCTGATGTTGTTCCTCTATTGCATATCAGTAGATTGTGCAGCTGCCCCGAATTAAGTGACTCGTCAGAGTATTTGCTCACAACTTACCGCAGGCCCAGAAAGGCCCATCTCTCCCTTTTCTCCTCTTTCTCCTTGTGGTCCTGCCTCACCCACATCACCTCTCGATCCCTGGTGGAAAAAAAAGAGTACCGGTATACAAATTATTAATGATGAACCACCCCAAAAAACAACGTTTCCGTAGATGTACCTTCTCCCCATCTACCCCAGCTGGACCAGGTAAACCAAGCTCCCCCTGAAACAAAAAAAGAGCCTCTCGATTAATGAATGTGATGACCGAAAGTGAAGTCAGCCTACCAAAGGGTCATTAATCTTTCGTTAAACTCGAGCAGTGCAATATTTGGATAGCTGAATAATGATAATGATGGTAATTAGTATATTATTGAACTTACCTTTTCTCCTTGAAGGCCTGGGGGGCCAGGTGGTCCAGGCGGGCCCTGGTGAAACAAGCACCCAAAAAAGGTTTGGTGATGCTTTTGACCATTTACTGTTTTGAACCTTTTTCTGCCATGTTCACTTGCTCGCTGGTTAGGTGTAAGATAGCTAACTGCAGCTGGCAGCTACCCAAAACACCACAATGTTTTGCGCTTATATAGGCACTCGATCGGGAGTGACAGTGTGTTTATGTGGGACTAATACAGGTTTTCTCATCCAATTGTGGCTGATGTCTGCTTAGGATGTCAAGCTGCAAAGCATCAATGAGTTGATTCGAATGCTTTTCAATTCTTTATGATGCAATATAACAAGGCAACACAATGATTAGAAACACCTCTCAGTAGAATAGAGTGCTGTTCAATATCACTGCAATTGTGAAAACAAACATACTGAGTTCCTAAACAAAGATTTTTCTTATTCCGCCCTTGTATTGGATCGCTTGTTGATTTTACACTTGCCTTGATTACTTTTCATGCAGACTGACACCACTGGACAAAAACAGGAGCAAGTGAATATTCTTGTTAGTGTAACATAAACAAATAACAAGAATCCCCATGCATTCTACTTTCATCCAGAAGCAATTTGTATGCTGCTCGAGGAGTGGCAGCTCCCTTAAATCAGGCTCCAAAATCTCTTCATGTGCAAGGGTCCACAATGCCACACTTAATATTTTTCCCTTTGCAGTATTCGGTCATCTTGAATCAACAACATTGCCTCCTGGAGGTGTACATGCTGTCTAATTTCTAATGTTGTCTTTGTATCCCATTAAAGCCATGGCAACCATTGGTTGTTTGCAACCAAGCATTTTATCTGCACTCATCAAATAACTGAAAAAGGAAGGTGGCTCATGCAAACGATACAGAATGACTGGTATCAAGTGAATGTTAGAATGGGGCTTAAACCATGAAGGCTCATCACCATCTAGTTGGAACCAATGTGATGTTCCACACAAATGACCGATGTGACGTGATACTTCCCTTTTGAGAGACTTCTGATAACATCTCAGGTTCATGTGTTTGCAGAGTATTTTGAAACCATAACGTATTGCTTCGATAGAGTTGCACGCCGAGGGGAACCTCGCTCTGTTAGTAGTGGTTTTTAAATTAAATACACACTCCACGGCAGAGATAACCATCTGTTATTAGCGTGGAGCAGGGGGTGCAGTCGAGAGGGACGTGATGTTCTTTGTGAAGCATTCCCTTCAATTGTGCACCAGCTGAGTAATGAGGAACAGCACAACCACACAGAGACACCATGCTGCTCGATATATCGCGGCGCGAGACGGCATGAAAACACACTCAAAACAACGTGACAAAGGCTGTTGATGTTTCTGCATGACTGAGCATGCTTTTTGAATCTGTGCTTCACAGTTCTCCCCAGATGGTTATAGCATCAGACAAGTTCACAAAAAATCTTTTTCAATATGGTGCATAGAGTGAGATTTAATACAGTGTTTTGGACTAAAGGACTGTGCTTGTTCAAGCCTCTGTGTGAGTCTACTGCACAGGTTTTGTGGTATATCTTTTCCAGCGTGTGTGTTAATCACTGTTGACACCACCACAGACCATGCAAAAACTGTTGCGGATTACCGAAATACTGATTGTGTTGATGGCCTGCGAAACAAAGAAATCATGCAGCATGACCATTTTGCTTTTTTTTTTTTTTTAAAGTTGTCTTTGATATGTAATGAGCTCTGTGTCCACCCTCAAAATGGAATACACAGTAATACAAAGAAACCTCCAGAATTAAACACATTCCATTCTGGGACTCTGTTGTATTCCAAATTGTCCCAAGTTTGAAAAAGATTTTTCCAATAGGGGGAAAAAAAACATACCTAGAATGTGTATTTTGCATGGTATTAAGTATATTAACTGCTTGGCCAAATGAACTCTAAACTATGAAAACAAATAATTGAGAAGAGCTTTTCCAAGTTCCCGGTTTCTTGTTTAATGGTTATCATTGCACTTTCCTCTTGACCATCATTGGTATCTTTCTCTGATAGTGGGACCACAAAAACACAAAAAATGTCTTAAGTTGATCACGAGCTAATGATTTCCTGATATCGTGCATTAAAATGGTTTGAACGAGAGAGGGAAAGTGGTTAAGAAAATGGATGGATGCGTGTTTTGCTTAACTTTTGAAACATATTTTTCAAGAATATTTTGGTTGACCTCAAAATTCTATTAATGTACTTTTGGTGTATTTGACTTTGGTTGTTCTATTGTATCACAAAAGTGATATCATATAATTCAAAATGTCCTCACCTGGAAAGCATCAAGAAGCTTCCCATTGAAGTCGATGATGTCCGAGTGGCCCGCACTGCCCTTTTCACCAGGATAACCCTTAAAAAATACACAAAATAGATATTTAAAACACACACACACACACACACACACACACACACACACACACACACACACACACACACACAGTGAGAGTAAAAAAAATACAAAACACACAGCATAATAAAGTAAAATTTACAGTGAAAATAAAATACATTCACCGGCTTTAGGCTGCTTCATTTGTCATTAACTAGGCACCGATTTACCGATTTTTGAGAAGGGATTTTTTTTTTTTTTTTACTTCTGTCTGTTATATCTAAATTTGTGTGTGTGTGTGTGTGTGTGTGTGTGTGTCTGTGCGTGTGTTTAAATAATTACATTATAATGGCAGTGATTCCCAAAGTGTTGGTGTAAAGGTTTTGAGTACCACTGTGTTATGGCATAGCTGATGCATTTTAGTAATTGTGGGTCCTCCAAGAAGAACCAAGATAGCAACTTGTATCTCATGCTAAAAGGGTTTGGTAAACTGCTTTTGGGTGATACACTCACCATGGGACCTTGTGGGCCTTGTTCTCCTACTTCTCCTTTATCGCCCTGTGTGACACACATTTATTTGGTTAAATGCAGACAAAACACAACATACATATTCAAAATGTGAAAATAGAATTCTAATGCATGGTTTGGAATTGACCCTTTGCTACGATGTCTTACCTTTAAACCTGGCAGTCCATCCATGCCCCTCTCTCCTTTTTCTGCGATTCCGGGCTCGCCCTATTTCAATCACATAAGTGGTCTAGCATATGCCAAGTGGAAAGAATGTGAGAAAATCCGACAGTATCGCTAGATCTCTGTACCTTTGCCCCCGGAGGACCCTGTGGTCCAGGATATCCAGGTTCCCCATCTTCTCCCTGAGAGTGAAAAATAACCAATTCAGTCTTAATTTTTTTCAAGCACTTTGACAACGCAGAGAAAGAGTTTTGGACACATAGTGTCCAAATATGTAAGTCAGAATTAACCTTACCGACTTCCCAGGCAATCCTTGAGGTCCCTAAAGGATAAATATTTTTAGAAAGATGTTGAGAATTTCTTGTTCCGTATAAGTTAAGTCAGATAAAAATGATCATATTAAAGCAATAAAAATGTGAGTTTGCTTAAAAATCAAATAAAAACACAAAAATGTGACACATATTCACCTCAATGCCATCACGACCTTGAAAACCCTAAGGCATAGAGGAAATGAATTAGAATGAGTCACCTGTACTGATTGTGTTCTAACTTTCGCCACTAGATGGCAGTATTCAAAAAGGGAAACATCGCAGAATTGCAAGTACTGTAGATGGTAGAAGATAGAGTACTGCTCATGATTAATGGAGCAACAATGTCCAACAGAGTCCCATTAAAGGGGACTGGTCAATGTTAAGTGATGGCCTTCAGTAGATTTAATAGCAGCTGGACACTTGAAGCACATTTTGGACTGAACTGCTCTCGAAAATCACCCAAACCAACGGGGAATGTCTTATCATCACATCAGTTAAATTCTGGCAATCACTGAAGGCTCTTTCCTGCCTGAAAGTGACTTCAAAGTTTGGTATTACAGTCATTCCTTCATTCCATTTATTAGTCCTTCACATCTAAACGTATAGTTTTTGTATTCAGTATTGAGGAAAACTGCAAAGTTGTGGACGTTAAAATCAAACTGTGTAAAATGTGAAATTCGAGAAGCTCAAATGTTAAATGCCATATCCCATTTCTGGCAGCAATTGGGCTCATTTTAAGTCAACACAACAATTTGTGAGGGCCAGTTGGCCGTTTGAGCCACACAACATCTGTTATGAAGTCGTGCATGGCAGAGCATCTTATGCGCTTGCCAACTCGAAATATTGCACTGCGCTATTGCCCCACACATACATGAGCATGTGTTTTTGGGGCTATTTGAAACCTACAAAATACCCTATTAAATTCATGTTTAAGGGCCTCCACAGAATGAAAGACACCCAACAATAGGTCACCTTATTGATCACGTTACATGGGCAAAAAACACTTTTTCATCATGATGCAGTGCATTTCTTCACAGCAGCTAACTATCACCATGGAGACAAAAAGAAACAGCTATCTTTGTAAAGGCAGTTAATTCTATATAAAGCTGGTATCAAATCTCAGACTGAAGTTACAATGGAATGCTTTTCAGGATTTGTGCAGTTTGTACAGAAGAGTGCCTTCTAGTGCCCTAATTTGCCTTCTTGTGTAGAGTTTGCATGTTTTCCCCAAGGTTGTGTGGATTTTCTCCAGGTACTCTGGCTTCCTCCCTCAATCCAAAACCATCCAGGTTCGGTAATTTGAATACAATAAATTGTCCATAGGTGTGAATCTAAATGGTTGTTTGTCTAGTGTCCTGCAACTAGCTGGCGACCACTCCAGGGTGTATAACACCTACCGCCAAAAGTCAGCCAAGATCGGCTCAGCTCACATGTGATCCGAATGAGGACAATCACTATTCAGAATGGACGGGTGGACGGATGTTGGGTGACACTTTAAAATTACTGTTATTCTTTGATTTTACAGTTCCACGACTTATAGTAAATGACAGGACTGAGCACAACAGCTCAAACTCGTGTCTCGCAGAAATGTCTAAAAGCAGACATCTGCACACAACCTGGAAAAGCCCTCTGTGATACAGTTTTGTTTCACTGCTTGGAGTTTTCCACTTCCTTTAATCAGCCAGGAAAGTTGACGTGAAATTGTCTATGTCGAAGGACTTTCACTTTTCCTTGTCTGTTTACACTCATGGTCTCGTTGTCAACACACCAAATCAGTCCCTGAGCACTCCTGGGCCATGTGAGGGGAACATAAGTAGTCATTCCTTCGAGTAAATCAAAACTATTCAGTCTTCCATCCCATAACCGCAAGCTTTATGTTGCCACTGTGTACATTATGAACTGAGCTGTGGGAAAGTTATCTTGAGAAACATAAACGGCCTCAAGCGAGAGGCACGGCTATTGTTTGGTGGCGCAGGCGATCTACCAGAGAACTCAAGACAGCAGTGCCATATACTGGTTTCAGGGTTGCTCAGATCGGCTCCTGGAAGCAGAGTGTGCGGTCGATGCTATCGTGGGCACGAGAAGAAACTTGTGGCTGCTGTCGTATATAAAACAGATGAAGGCAGGAGAGCTGTTATGCAGCTGACTTTGGTTAAGCCATAGCTCACTGGCAGGCTCGGTTGAAGGAGAATTTACCATTGCTACGCGTCTCTCCTTATACTGTACACTGTCACTTGACAATTCAAGAATGACAGCCAGGAGCCTTATCCGTTTTAGATAATGCTCACTTTCAATTTACATGGTCAAAAAGATCTTCAAAATTAATATTGTGAGCAGGTGGCAGTGGTGTGGAACTGGATTGCATCATATTAACAGCTGCTTCTTTGATTTAGCTTTCATGTAGCTAAACCAAAATGCTGTATTTGAAAGGCCTCTCAGCAGCTGCAATAATTATCATACTGTTGAATTTGTGCACAACGAAGCATAATGGGTGTACCAAATGAAGTGTTTATTTCGACTAAACTGTTTTCTACCTGAGTCAAGTTTGCACATGCACAGTAAGATGGAATAGCCTATTGCATGAGAAGCGAGGGTGAATCGCTCAAAACGATGAAGGAAACTTGACTGATTATTTTCGATGAGACCTGTGTGGACTCCTGGAAATCTCTGGGCCCCAGGACAATTGCCTGTGTTCGGCTAACCGCAAGCCTCTTAACATACCGTCGACAAGATTGTTTGAGAGTGGGCCTGTTTGTGCATTAGGTGTTAGCTTGTCACATGACATCAAAAGCAAAGGCTCTTACTGGCTCTCCTGCTGGGCCACGAGGTCCATCTTTGCCGGTGTTTCCAGGGGGGCCTCTGGGACCTGGGGGACCTGGGGGGCCTGGCGGGCCAGCAGGTCCAGCCTGCCCTTGGTCACCCTGATGACATACAGTAAACAGAAGAATGACGGATTGAATGGACAAAACTGAAACACTTGTGAGAGAGATTTGTCTTTCCACATGAAAGCAAAATATTTAATAAGCAAAGATCCACAATCTAGAAAACATGTTCTTTCCATGTCAATGCAGCGCCTGCAAAGCTTAAACTGACAGACAGGACTGCCTATTGTTCTCTGTTATGCTATGTTAAACACTTTTGTACACTTGGGAGCATTAGCAGGAATGACGAAGTTTTTCTGGTCAAAACGGAAAAGTAAGAGACTGATTCTCGTGAATATCATAAAATGTAACAATTGATAATTGAAGTCAAAAGTCTTTTTAATTCAATATCGTGCAAGATTTCATTCAACTTGAACAATAACAGAAAGAAAAGTGCAGAGCTGATTAAAATGGAATTAAATTGCTTCGTTAAAGTGTGAAAAGTGAACACATGCCTTAGTTGTGGTATACCTTCAGAAAACGTCTCTGAAAGGTGCTTGAGTGGTCACCAGAGAGAAAGCCATGATCGTATCTTGGATAGACCATCTACAGAAGGAGCATTAAATGCAGCAAATGCAGGAAAGAAAGAAAGAAAGAAAAAGAAAGAAAGAAAGGAGAGGTCATGACGATCATGGTAGAGAAACAGCAACAGGGAAGGGCAGTAGCGATACAAAGACAAATCAGTGTGGAAATCGGCATTCCGGAAGCAGAATAGCTGTGGGAAGACCCTGAGGCAAGATGAAGAGAAATCTCTCAGGGTGGATGGTTTTCCTTGCCCCGCATAAAGAGACAGATCGGCGAGCAGCGAATACTGGGAGGCAAACCGAGAGTTCACTGCTCAGGACAAACCTTGACAGTGAGAATCTGATTACTGTGTAGTCCTGCAAATGTGCTGTAGTTAGGTGGACCCTGAGAAGAGGAAGTGACAGGTGAGCAGTGCGCACTTTGGATGTGGCTAGTAGAAGAAAGACATGGTACACGATGTATAGGTTACTCATGTACAACCGAAACATAGCGTAGACATCATTTGCAAAGGGTGAGATACACCATATGTACTAAACTATTGTACTAAGTGTCCCTTTACATCAAATGGAAGTGGAAATCCTGTTGCAGTCCCCTCGTTCGTCATTCAAGCCAACGGGTGTGAATGACATCTTTGGTTTGGTGTTTATTCTACCAGGTGGTATGATTTGATCTGAGATGTCTTCGAGCAGTACGACATTTAAGGCAACAACAACAACATTTTAAAAATGGTAAATAAAATAAAACTATAACACAGTTACTTCTCTAAGATTTGGAGCAGTTATGATTATGCTACACTTGTTCAGCTTAGCAACAAGTGGCTATGCAATTGTCTGACATGACCAGAAAAAAAAAAAGAGTGCGAGCAATTCTATTTACCATGTTGTAGACTTACAGTATAGTTCAACATGTATTTGTCTTGTGCATAATAAATCATAATTTGTTGTCAGAAATTTATCAAATGATCACTGGAAAATAACTGAAGCAGTAGCTCAATCTGTACGGACCTGGCCTTGAGACTTAAGGTACCCGCTGTCGATGTACATTTGTTGTTGGAGAAATGCTTGACTGATTTCCTCAAATGGCCACTGTCACATTTATTGTCTTTACTCCTCCATTAAGTACCAAGCGCCATTTAAAAGGAGGCTTCTATTTCAGAGGGAGCCTTTAATGGTGTAAATGGTGTTTGGAAAGGTGCAGCTTGGCACACTAATGTCCATTTGTTTAGTGGAGAACTGTTTCGTGCTGAGTGGCATGTGTAAACGTTTCATGAATGAGCTTTTATTCTTGGTTCCAATCAATAATGCAGTGCAGCTGGAGGCAGAACTAATTGTTCCCTGCTCATCATATGTTTTCATGTAAGAGATTTGCTTCTTTATCAGCCCGGATCTCATTAGTTTGTCCAAAAAATAGAACCAATTTGTCAAGAGTGGAAATGCAAAACAAATTAGTTTGTATCATACTACAGTATCTTCTGGAAACAAGGTTATAGTAAAGGTAATACCAGCTACTTGGAGGTCGTATCCATTATTTTCTTCTTTTGGGGGAAAAAAAGAGAAATCATGATTGGCGTACATTATGCACAGTGCATGGGGCGTCTTGACACCGGCCAATGGATATGCAAGAGGGAGGTCTGCGCGGTTGTGGGCGTGCTCACAGATGCCTCAAATCATGTCCAAAGCAACTTCTTCATTCTCTTTAAATGCTTTGTGTTAGACCAGTTGTCTACCTTGCGCCAGCCTCTCAGACGTGTTCTGAGCAGGAATAAGATTTACACTATTTGTCACCCAACTGCCAGGTGTGTCTCCAAGAAACTACTTTTGCTATGCCAGACCACCCAGCTTAGTGGAGACCGGTCTGCCAAATTGGCAAATGTGCGTCCTCTATAAACACTACTGTAAATACACACAATATACTATAAGATTTTGGGTGATTTATTTTCCGGTGCGAATGAAGCTTCCCTGCCTGAGGTCCTTTCAAAAGTCCATCGGATGTAAAAGAGAACGGAATGAATCTTTAAGAAAGAATGAAGGATGAACCGCCCGATGACAAGAAGAGTAATCTTCATCAGGTTTCTATTAACAGGCTGTGGAGATTGCAAGGCACTTTGACATTTTTCCATTTTTCAAATCTGTATCAACTGTACTGTTGACGATACCGCTCACACACATTTTCCTTACATGCCTCAAAAGTGTCTGTTTCACGTTGGGCCTCTCCTATCCCTCATTTTCATCAGCTTGATAGTAAGACATTAAACGACTGTGCCGTTGACTCCATGGGGAGCCAAAAGGAATGCTTTGGTCGAGGATGAAACTGGAATATGGCATCTCGTTTTT